TTGAAATTTTGGTAAATTGATTTCTCTTGGAAATGGCTTCCTTACTTGCAAAATAAAATTGTGTTAGAAATCAATTTCTGCTGATCTTCTAATTCTTTTGCTTCTAATTTGTTTATTTGAACTGGATAATGAGGGTTTTTATAGATGACTTTTACGAATTTGACCTTTTTCATAGTTATAAATGTTTTCATCTTTGTTTTACATTTTTCTTAAAATTATATATGTTTACCTTGTAATTGGGGCTTCCTTCATGGCTCAGACAGTAAAGAATCTGCCTGCAAGGCAGGAGACCTGGGTTTGATCCTTGCTTAGGAAGATCCACTGGAGAAGGGAATGGCTACCCACTCAAGTATTCTTGCACAGAGAATTCCGTGGACACAGGAGCCTGGTCAGCTATAGTCTGTGGGGTCGCAGAGTCAGACAAGGCTGAGTGACTAACTGAGCGACTAACACTTTCACTTTCATGTTGTAATTAACTACTATTTGCTTTAATGCAGTTGTGTGCTTACAGCAGAGGTTGTCAGCCTTACTACACACTAGACTCATTTACAGAGTTTTAAAAATTGCCAACATCCATTGTATCGTAGAAAAAGCAAGAGAATTCCAGAAAAATATCTACTTCTGCTTCATTGACTACGTTAAAGCCTTTGACTGTATGTATGACAACAAACTGTGGAAAATTCTTAAAGAGATAAAAATACCAGACCACCTTACCTGCCTCCTGAGAAACCTGTATGCAGGTCAAGAAGCAGCAGTTTGAACCAGACATGGTACAACAGACTGGTTCCAAATTGGGAAAGGAGTGCGTCAAGGCTGTATATTATCACCCTGTTTATTTATGTGCAGACTACATCATGCAAAATGTCAGGCTGGATGAAGCGCAAGCTGAAATCAAGACTGCCAGGAGAAATAACAGTAGCCTCAGATACGCAGATCACAGGACCATTATGGCAGAGAGTGAAGAGGAACTAAAGAGCCTCTTGATGAAGGTGAAGGAGGAGCATGAAAAAGCTGGCTTAAAAATCAGTATTCAAAAAACTAAAATCATGGCATCTGGTCCCATAACTTCGTGGCAAATAGATGGGGAAACAATGCAAACAGTGATAGACTTCATTTCCTTGGGCACCAGAATCACTGCAGATGTTGAACGCAGCCATGAAATTAAAAGACATTTGTTTCTTGTAAGAAAAGCCATGACAAACCTAGACGGCATATTAAAAAGCAGAGACATCACTTTGCCGACAAAGGTCCGTCTAATCAAAGCTATGGTTTTCCCAGTAGTCATGTACAGGTGTGAGAGTTGAACCATAAAGAAGATTGAGCATCCAAGAATTGATGCTTTCGAATTGTGGTGCTGGTGAATACTCTTGAGAGTCCCTTGGACTGCAAGGAGATCAAACCAGTCAATTCTAAAGGAAATCAACCCTTAATATTCTTTGGAAGGTCTGATGCTGAAGCTGAAGCTCCAATACTTTGACCACCTGATGGGAAGAACTGACTCATTGGAAAAGACGTTGATGCTGGGAAAGATTGAAAGCAGGAGAAGGGGATGACAGAGGATGAGATACTTGGATGGTGTCACTGACTCAATGGACAAGAATTTGAGCAAGCTCCAGGAGTTGGTGATGGACAGGGAAGCCTGGCGTGCTGCAGTCCCTGGGGTCTGGGACTAAACAACAACAAATGCTGCTGCTTATGCCTCGCCTGGGTCTAGGGTGTGGCCAGGGTACCAGGATTTTCAAAAGGCCCCAGGTGATTTTACTTTGTAGCCAAACTTCAGAAACTGTTGGGTTATTTCAGAGGTAATTGAAATATACTTCTCCTTTTGGAAAGAAGGTGGCCATGGCATTGTCTGAGCGATGTGATCAATCTGTCATCTCAAATCTCTTGTTTAGAATAAAGTGAAATGGTGAGAATTGAATGGCAGAATGAAGTCCTGGAATTTGTTAGAGCACTTTTCTTGTTATTCACCAAATCATAAATGGAATTAGTGTATCAACATACAGAAAACTAAGATCATGGCATCTGGTCCCATCACTTCATGGGAAATAGATGAGGAAACAGTGGAAGCAGTGTCAGACTTTATTTTTTTGGGCTTCAAAATCACTGCAGATGGTGACTGCAGCCATGAAATTAAAAGATGCTTACTCCTTGGAAGGAAAGTTATGACCAACCTAGACAGCATATTAAACAGCAGAGACATTACTTTGCCAACAAATGTCCATCTAGTCAAGGCTATGGTTTTACCAGTAGTCATGTATGGATATGAGTGTTGGACTATAAAGAAAACTGAGCAGCAAAGAATTGATGCTTTTGAACTGTGGTGTTGGAGAAGACTCTTGAGAGTCCCTTGGACTGCAAGGAGATCCAACCAGTCCATCCTAAAGGAGATGAGTCCTGGGTGTTCATTGGAAGGACTGATGCTGAAGCTGAAACTCCAATACTTTGGCCACCTGATGCGAAGAGTTGACTCATTGGAAAAGACCCTGATGCTAGGAGGGATGAGGGGGTGTGGAGGAGAAGGGGACAACAGAAGATGAGATGGCTGGATGGCATCACCGACTCAATGGGCATGAGTTTGAGTAAAGTCAGGGAGTTGGTAATGGACAGGGAGGCCTGGCGTGCTGCGATTCATGGGGTCGCAAAGAGTCAGATACCACTGAGCGACTGAGCTGAACTGATGGAGAGAATAATTTTAATGCCTTTAATTCTTGTGTTGTTGGGGGAAGGAATAATAGTTCTTGTTTTGTGTGCTGTGCTTAGTTGCTCAGTCTTGTCCAACTCTTTGAGACTTCGTGGACTGTAGCCCACCAGGCTCCTCTGGCTATGGGGATTCTCTAGGCAAGAATGCTGGAGTGGGTTGCCATCCCTTACTCAAGAGGATCTTCCCAATCCAGGGATCGAACTCTGGTCTCCTGCATTGCAGGTGGATTCTTTACCGTCTGAGCCACCAGGGAACCCAAGAATACTGGAGTTGTTTGCCATGCCCTCCTCCAGGGAATCTTCCCGACACAGGGATCGAACCCACGTCTCTTGTTTCCTGCATTGGCAGGTGGGGTTTTTTGTTTTCTTTTTTTACTACTAGTGCCACCTGGGAAGCTCAGTTCTTGTTTTGAGCCCTACACAAATTGAATTTGTGAGCCTCATTATTTAAGTCAGAAATGAATAAATCTGCTTTTATGGCCTATAACAATTACTGATTTATTGTTAGTAATGTTAGGCAAATATTGTTCCTAAACTCCTGTTGTCTTCGTCACCTACTTTCAATGTAATAAGCACTCTGTTACTATAAGAGATCTTTGTTTACTCCAATAACAAGGTGCTGGATAAGGACCTGTAGACTCAAATAGTTACCTCCCTAAGGTATCAGACTTTCCAGAGAGAAATCAACTGAACTTTAGACTACTCCTTTCTTTTATTCTGAAAAATGATCCAGTGTATTTCCAGCTTGGAATAGGGATCTATTATCAGGTTAGGGATGTTTACTGTGATTTCACTGTTTGAGGTATCATGAATTCCCAGAATATTCCCGTATCTTGCAGTATGGACTGCAGTAGGGTCACAAGCTTCTTGTACTTCTAGACGGTATATTAGCATGCTGCCTGAAAATAGTGGAGCTCAATGAACAGAATAATCAGACAGAATTAGGTTCAAAACCTAGGTTTTCTTTATATAAGATGTTTTAACTTGATTTAGTTAACTTGTTTAGCCTTAATTTCCATATCTGGGATACTGGGGGAGATGAGACCCAAGTTCCAAGTTTGTTAATCAGGTAAAATAGTTTAGATTCTTAACATAGTACCTGTCCACAGTTGGTCTGTAATAGATACTATTTCCCTAGTTTTGATTTTGAATTATTCTAGAGAATTATTGTAGTGAAAATAATTCCTGAAAATAGATTAACTTCTAAATTTTCTTTAATAATTAGTCTTATTTTTAATGACTGTTGGGAGTGATGTATGAGTCACATTTTATTTAGCTGAATTTTCAAATACTTCTGAATTTCTCATAAACCTGATAATCTTTTGATAAAGATGTTAATATCATACCTTTGTTTACTGTGACAGGTTTTATAATTTTTCATTATATTTGGAGACATTTTATGTTCAAGATTCTTGATGTATGGTGGGAGAAATTAGAAGGCTGGTAGTATAGCATAGTATAGTCAGGGTACAACCCCTAGGTTCATACATACTTACATAATGAAAATAAAAGTGAAATGTAATACAGGCTATGTTGGGGCGTGGGCAAATCTAATTAGTTCGTTCATTGTAAAATGTTTTATTGTGTTCCTCTGTATGCCCAAATAAGATCATTTTGGTAATTACTCCTCCCATTTTCTACTTTTCAAAATTGTTCTCATATTTAAAGGCATAACTCAAATGTGATCTTTTTTATGTAGTCACCCCCTCCCCTGATGCACACCTCAAAAGGGAATTTCTTTTTTCTCCATTCTGTCAGCCTGTGACCTTTACCCTGGCACTGGCACTTATTTCACCATTTAATATTAAAAGTGGAGCTGTTCTAGGTTTCCAGGCCTTGAGTTGAAGGTTATATGGGGTCCTGATATCAGAGAGATACTATTTTAATCTCCACTTTGTCACTTACTTTCTTTGTAAAGATTTGTCCTTTCTGAGCTCAACTATTTACCTGTTAGAGATAAAAGCTTCTACCTTATAGTTTTGTTGAAAGATTAAGTGGTATAAGTGGCCTGAGATAGAAAGTGTTCAATAAATGGTAGTGAATAATGTTATTGTTTTTCTTGTTTGTGTAAATCATGTTATTTACTCTATGTAAATATGTTTCCTTTAGACTGTGTTCTTCTAAAAACAGAGGACTGTTGCTTGGCATTTTGCATAAGGTTTAATAAATTAACTACATTTGTTTATTGACTGCATTAACTTTGATCTTTACTTGACTTTTAAAAACAAGAGCATTGACATATATTAAAGAAAAATATGAGTTGTTTTCTACATACCTTTGTTTTAAAATTCCTGCAGGTACCTTCTTATCTCATAATTTCAGTGTCCTGAAATCTGAGGATTCCACCGAGATAATATGATAGGAACTTGCAGTGATTTGGAACCGCATCCTACTTAGACTAATGCAGGTCTTCCAGGTTTCCTAAGAGCTAGTACAGCAACTCACACTGCTCGTTGATCCGCACAGACAAGAATGCCGTCTCTGCCTCAGGAAAGAGGTAAGCAGCGTGATTTAATCATGTGGACACACTATATAGAGCTACATTTTATAGGTCATCACCGGTAATCTTTCCAAGAATTAAAAATCAATTGGGGACCCTTAAAGAATAAGAATTTATACTTTTACCTTGCTGGGGGGCGGAGCATTTGTGTTCTCTGGTATGGAGTTCTTATTATTTCAATGATATTTGGTTGGTTTACATTTCTTTTAAAGTTATTCAGGGACCTACTCCCCTGGATCTGAATACAGAATTGCCTTATCAAAGCACGATGAAAAGGAAAGTCAGAAAGAAGAAAAAGAAGGGAACCATTACAGCAAATGTTGCTGGGACAAAGTTTGAAATTGGTAGGTCTCTTCAGAATAGTGATATTTTCATAATTGTTGGGAAAGCTATTTGATGTTAAAAACAGTGTAAAAATTCAGAGACAGTTTTATTCTATATAATGGATTTCTGAATGCCTTTTATAGAATTTTATTTTTTATGACATATTTAACATGTCTTTAACCAAATAGAACATCCATGAAACTCAAAAGCTCTAGGTATTGAGGAGATTGGATTAAATGTATATAATTTTAATGCTTAGTTTTAAAATCAAGTATAAAGTAATATGAACAGTAAAACACAGCTATTAAAACAAGCTTTAATTTTGAAATACAGATGTGATTAGTTAGGACAATTATATGAGTCTAATGAATTTTTCACTTGGGGCTAAAATTATTTTTAACTTTTAATATTCATTACTTTGTAAATAATTTTAAAAACAGATTAAAAGTATTACATGTACACTGAAAACTGCAGAATTTGAGATTCATATTAAACAATGAGAAACTGACTTAAAAATAGTGTAATAACATATTTCTCTGCATGCTTTAAAAACAATTTGGATGATACTGTTTCTTTTTATTTGTATAATATATTTTTTACATGTAAGCAATATTTGCAGTGGAGAGAATAGGTAAGAATTAATTGCTTTAAATTAAGATATTCTTTCCCAGCATTGCACTGAGAAACTCATCACTACTACAAGTACTCAAATAATCTTCCTTTTTGAAACAAATAATTTTGCATTAAGAGTTAAGGAAAACCATATGAATCTCAAGGATATTAATTATTCTTACCCTTGTTAATCTTTGAGAGTCACATTTCCACTTACAGTATTTCACCAAAGTTCAACAGCAACCAATGGAATATTTCATAGGAATTGAGGTCCCCTAATACTCTGTTCTTCACAGGAAAAACTTCAAATTAATTAATGTGGGAGAGTGAGACGTGAGTTATTTGCAGTGTATTTTCTAGCATGAAAAAACAAGAGTAACCACTGTCAAAGTGATAGATGGGGCAGTGTTCACTTCCCAGCTTGTTTGCTTTTAAGATTGTGGGATTTATAAGGAACTTGATCTCGAGGAGAGTGCTTTCAGGTGTAGTTCCCCGTCACTGCCAAGGGCTGAACTTACATTAGCCTTCTTCATACTGATTCCAGACCTCTGTGCCGAGCCTGCTCAGTGGTGTTTAGCCAAATCCCTGCTCGGTCAGACTTGAAGACTTGGACCAGAGACTTCTGGGAGAAAACAGAGCAAGTGTAGGGCAGGGAAAGGGACAACTGGCCGTGAGTCCAGGAGATGATGCTACCTTGCTTTCCCTTCTTTAACCTAGCGATGTGCAACAGATGACTTCTGGTAATTTAACTGCTGCTCCTTTGACAGGTTGGATTATGTAATGAAAGATGATTCAGCCATAGTCAGGACACTTGTGTTTTCTCCCTGATGTTGCCTGTTTCCTCATGTAGAATACTTTAACCACTACTAATTTTACTATTAATGCTTTTATAACCCTGGACCAAGTATTTTCACATGAGTTACCTCACCTAGTCTTCCAGATAACCCTGTGAAATAGGCTGTGTTACTCCCTTGTTGCCACTGTCTCTGACTTTCCTTGCTCTAATAGTGAATTTGAAGTGGCTAATAGCCATGAGAAAATAAATAAGTAAAAAATAAAAATAATAAAATTGAATGAAGCTTGTGGCTGATCAGAATATAATCTGCATTCCATGAAATCCTCTATAGTTAGAGATGTGTCTGGATTTGACTCTGAGCTGCCTAGCAAGCAAAGCTAATAATTGCAAATAATCAGGTATAGAATATGCAGTGCCCAGAAGATGAAACCATACTGGTTATTCAAAGGAAATGCAATGTTTCTATTCCTGAGTCTTGGGAAAAATTTTTCCCATAATTTCTCATGGAGACACATTGTGGAATAGTGAACTACACTGTCATAGTAATCCTATAATTAATATATGATGAAACTTTATTACTTTTTAAAACACCCCTTAGGCACAGTTGAATAAATGAAAGCTCAGTGAGAACAACTTCCTCAAGGTTGTACAGATGGCAAAAGTAGAACTTGAACCTGAATGAATTTGCTTCCAAATTAAGTGTTCTTTTTACTATATCATACTGCCTAAATAAAATGTGAGTCAAAATTTAAATTGAGTAACATTAAAGTATCTTCTATTAAAATTCAGAGAGTTGTTACATGGATTCCTATTTTTAAAACTCCTGAAGAGCTTCTGAAAGCTCTTGGGTCAAGGCAAAAAAAGAAGTAGGCCAAGTTTGTGAGGAACGTGTATTTGGCAATTTTTATTAAATGGAGACAAGACAGATTGTAGAAGGAATACTTATTATGCAAGGAGAAATGTGAGAAAAATGGTTGGTGTGGTTATCTCTGTTTTACCAATAAGGGAATTTGGTTTGGTAGAAATTATATATTGAGGCAATTATTTCAGTTCTTTTTTTAAGAGAACTCCTAAAAGACTCAGCTGGTAAAGAATCCGCCTGCAAGGTGGGAGGGGGGATCGGGATGGTGAATACATGTAACTCCATGGCTGATTCATGTCAATGTATGACAAAAACCATTACAATATTGTAAAGTAATTAGCCTCCAACTAATAAAAATAAATGAAGAAAAAAAAAGAATCCGCCTTCAATGTGGGAGACCTGAGTTCAGTCCCTGGGTTGGGAAGATCCCCTAGAGAAGGGAAAGGCTACCCAGTCCAGTATTCTGGCCTGGAGAATTCCATGGACTGTACAGTTGATGGGGTTGCAAAGAGTCAGACATGACCAAGCAACTTTCACTTTCCTAAAAGGCCAGCATTTAAAAGCATGCATTTAGACTTTGGCTTCTAACAACCTTGTATTTGGAACTGACATGTTAAAGGAATTTCTTTTCTATGCAGTGGAGGATGATATACTTAGAAGTATGCCAATTGATTTCTAAAATTTCATTTCAAACAAACATATGAGTAGATAGCTTAGCTGAAAAAAAGTGACAGTTTAATGCCTAACATTATTTTTTTTTTTGAAGTTCAACTCTTTCAGCTATTCAAGCTTTGAATTTCATAGTAAGAGAGATTTATATAAGACTGACCTTACAAATTTGATTTTGTGAATTTAGAGAAAGAGTGGATTATTGCCACCATTGTTATATATATGGATGTTTCCATCCTCACCAGCTCACGTTTACATTAATACCCGCATTTTAGTAGTTCATTATACCCCCTCTGTCTGCAACTACTGCCAGTGTCATTTCTCTCATCAAGGTCTTCCTAGTGATTTCTGAGAGGCCTGGGACAATGACTTGCATGTACTTGGGACCGTGTCTGCTTCTGAGCTGTAGTTCAGACTTAGACATTGTTTTCTGCTTGTGAGCTAGTTAAAAGAACTCTCCCAGGCTGTGTCACTACGGTCTTCCCCCCGCCACGAGCTCTAGATGACACAGAAGCTCCTGGGTCTCAGGATGCCAATGCTGCTTGGTTGTCTGAGGCAGAGAGAGGAACAGCCCTTTCCCCAAATTTGTACTGTATGTTGTCACCTGGGCCTTCAGAACAACCCCAAGTTTTATCAAGCTGCTCATGGAAAAAAGTAGCTTCACCCCAACAGTCCTCTCCCTAACCTCGTTCATCTCCAGTCCCTGTCCTCTTCTATTGTTATGCCTGTGTTCCAGCTATTATTGCATGAAAAGCCTGTTCTGTGTCCATGATCAAAAAGAAATCAAGAGTCCCTTGGACTTGAGACCAACTGGTATCTGGTCATTAGTTTCATACTTGAACCAAGTATACTTAGACAGTTAACCCCTTTTTACTATATCTTCCTATCTTTGGGCAATAAAAGGAAAGTAGGCATTGAAACACTCCTGTCTAGTTACACTGTTATATTAAGACTCCAAATTCTATTGGAACCCAAGGTTTATCCTAAGTATTTCTGATTTTATTCTAAACTTGAAATACATGGGAAGAAATATATCAATATGTTTATTATTATATCCAGTAATGTGGAATTTATAAAGCATGATTTTCTCCGAACATATTTTTTGTGCTTAGGATTAGAGGGTCGGGAGCCGATGGGAGGGCCAGAGTTTCTAGATCTCTACTATAATTCTGCTTTATTATTTTGTGTCCTGTGTCAGTATAACTGACTTGGTTTTAACTGCTAAAAATAATTTGAATTAGGGAGGTGGAAAGTATAGGGTGGGTCTGATGCTCAGGGACTATTTTTATCCTTTCTTTTTGTACCTAGCCCAAGGGCATGAAAAAGCCATAAAAGTACATTTTCCTGAGTCGAGGTGTTGTGTCGGCTGTGTGTGTGTTTTCACTGAGCTATGCATACTCACTGAGCTCTTTAACAGCGTTGTGTGCCTGTTATATCTCAGAAAATTGAAACTAAGGATTTTGGGTGCCAACTAAAAGCAGTTCTCTGTTGCTGTTGAGTATAATCTAGCCTTAGATAATTCACTGTACCTAAATTAAGGTTATGCTATAACTAATGGAAATTTTACAGATAAAATCCTGTGAGCTAAAATGGATATATATATATATATATATACACATATACATATACATATATACACATATAAGATTTTCACGATGACTGTGTTTCAGAAGCATTTTAATTTTGGTTTAACTTAACTGTTTACTTGCAGTGCGTTTAGTAATAGATGAAATGGGATTTTTGAAAACGCCAGATGAAGATGAAACAAGCAATCTTATATGGTGTGATTCTGCTGTTCAGCAAGAGAAGATTGCAGAGCTGCAAAATTACCAGGTAGGAAATTAATCATGACCAATTATTGGTCAGCAGGAAAATTCTATGAATTCCATTATAGTTTTCTTTAGGTAAGGTTCTTAATATGTTGACATATTAATTCATTTCTGCCTGATGGCCCCGATGGATCAGTGAGTAAGAATCTGCTTGCAGCGCAGGAGACACCGGAGATGCGGGTTGGATCCCTCTGTTGGCAGGATTTCCTGGAGGAGGAAATGGCAACCCACTCCAGGATTCTTGCCTGAATGGGCTTCCCCAGTGGCCCAGCAGTAGAGTCCTCCTGCCAATGTAGGATACACAGGTTTGATCCCTGGGTTGTGAAGATCCTCTGGAGAAGGAAATGTCAACCCACTCTAGTATTCTTGCCTCAGAAATCCCATGGACAGAAGAGCCTGGCGGGCTACAGTCCATAGGGTCTGGAAAAGAGTCAGACACGACTCAGCGACTATACACACAACACAATTTACTTGACTAGCCTGTTGCCTGAAGACTGCGTCCTTTCAGATTTAACTTTAAGCTCCTTCCATCTTTAAGGAAGAATTGATAGAGGAAAGCTCTTCCTAGGCTGATGCTCTGCATTATGCATACAGATGAACGATGTGGAATAGATGGCATGAAGATGTCTGAATATGGCCATCCCTTGTAATGTCAGCTATGTGTAATTTGCCTTCATTATTTTATTACTAGAATGTAATACAAGTAAATTAAAAAATAAAAATGAAATACATGGAGTTTTAGGCTATTGAGATTTTGTATAGCTCTCCTTTACCTGTTTTTGTAGTGACTTGTACAAAATTGACTGTAGATAGCAAGTCCATTTTCACCAGTTTTTTTAGTCTTTAGCCTCTTACTAAAAAACACTAAACACAAAGGATGACTGTAACTGTATCATAGTATAAATGAATATATCCATTAGGTTAATGAGAATATTAATGTTTACCTTTTTATTTTGCAGAGGATCAACCATTTTCCAGGAATGGGGGAGATCTGTAGGAAGGATTTCCTAGCGAGAAATATGACCAAGTAATCTTCATTTTCTTGTAATAGAGAAGACCTATTAAAAATTACATAGTGCTACCTTTAACAAATTAACATTGATTTGAAATGGAATTTCAATGGAAGAGATAGAATTTCAGAGCTGGAAGGGTCTTAAAATTTTCCTGGTTCTGTTCTTTGACTTTGCAGAGGAGGTAATTGAGGGTCAGAGACATGAATACCTTGTGTAAAGTCAAAGTTAAGAGCAGAGCTGGAGTAGGATCTTGGTCTTCAGAATTTCAGGGTTCTTTTCACTGCAACTTGCTATCTCTCCAGCAAAAGAAATTGTTTGTTTAAATGTAAGAAGCTTTCTGTACATAACATTCAATATGTGCTCACTTATTTTCAGTTAAACCTTGTACAAACTAATTTGTCGCATTTTATCCCTCGTGTGGGTGTGTTCAGAATACTGGTTACTGAGCATCTGATATGTGCCAAGCACTGTAATAGGTGCCTGTGTGCACACATGTAGAACACGTGTATATGTGCCTACTCAGGGCTACATGCACAGATATTTATTTTGGAGACCATTATTTAGAGTAATAATATGCCTTCATGGGAAAAACTGTTAACAGGTAAAGTGTTATGAAGAATATATTGCAGAATTTTTCTGCAGTTTATATTTCTGTTTATTAGATTTTTTATTTTCAGAAAGTTGATAAATTGAGAAAAAAATATTAAAAAGAGGATTCTTTCACAGATGAAAGTTGGGAAGATGCTTGTAATTCAAGAAATATTAGTATTCATCCATGTGAAAGCTTATAATCCATTCACACAACAATATTTTTTGCGTGTCTATTATATGCCCTTGAGACTGCTAGCTTTGAAGTAAACAAGTTAATTAAAGCCTAGTTTCTGCCTAGAACTCACATTTTAGTAAGAGAGGAGCACTGATGCATAAATAGTTTGGTGCTGTCACATTCGAGGTAGAGACTGTGTGACAAAGAAGGTGGGAGAGATTCTTTAGGAGACAGCAGGGAAGGGTTTCTGGAGAAATTAAATTATGAGATGGATATTGAAAGGAGTAAAGGAGTTCACCCTTTGAGAAGAAGATAAGAAAATTGTAGGCAAAGACAACAGTGGGAGGAGGCATAGGGAGACTTAAATCACATAATATGTTTGGGAGAACCTCAAGCACTCTTTGTGGTTAAATAGGATATTGGGAGGCTCGACCTCAGATGATGCTGGAAATAAATGTAAAGACTAAGCTGTGTACACTGTATTATTGTATTTTTTTAAAATCATTTAATCATTGTTTCTTTAATCTCTTTACTCAACAAACATTTCTCCCTATCCTGAGAGAAATGAGGAGCTATTTAATGGGCCTCAGCAGAGAAATAATCTGTTTTAGATAGTTTTGGTGACACCATAGGATAATGGGTTCAATGAAGGTAGGACCAGAGAGTGAAAGCCCTGGAAGAGATGCTTGTCATTATCTAGTTCAGAAATAATGAACACCTATTGATCCAAAAGAGAGAGAGGACGAATGGGGAAGAGAAGATAAATCTGAGAGAAATAAAGCACGTGGCATTGCTGGGACTTGAAAACTGCTCTGATGTGAGAATTGAAGGAAAGGGGGTGAGAAGTCTCCAAGACTCTTAGGTTTCTGGATTAGGATGTTATGTGGAGGGTGTGATTTGTTAACATAGGAATTACAAGGATGGGCTTCAGAGGAATGGGAGTGAACCTCTAATTTGGACATGTGTTTCTTTTAAGTCATTTGTTTCCATTGAACACATATTTATTAAGTGTCTGTTAGATGCCAGGCATTGTGCTGGGCTCTGAGCACGAAGTGATCAAAAGCAGAGTTATGGTTTTTACAGCCTTGCATTACAGTTGTGACAACTGCTATGAAGTAGAGGTATGTAGTCCTAAATTATTGCATAGTGAAGGACTTCTAACTTAAGGAAGCTTTGGAGAGTTTCCCTGAGGAAGTGATGTGGAAGCTGAGATATGAATGATGAGTAGGAGTTTATTGGTGCAGATGGTATGTAATAGCCTTCTGGGCAAGAAGGATAGTAGGGGTGTGGGTCCTGTGCTGGGAGAAAACATGGGTAGTCGAGATTCTGAAATAAGGCCAATGTAGCTGGAGCACAGAGAGGTTGATGGGGAGCAGTGGGGGAGATTGGTTCACGAGTGATTTTTCAGGATGACAATCTTTATCCTAAATGCCACAGAAGAGGAGGGGGAGATGAAGTTGATAATATGACCAAATTTGCATTTTTCCAAGATCCTTCTGGCTGCTTTGTAGAGAACAGAAGTCTCATGGCCCAGGAGAGGCAAGAGGATTAAATGTAGACCCATTAGTAGGCTATTGCAATTAGGCAGTTTTCCATCCTGTAGAATCCTTGCAAGTCTCCTTGAGGAAAAAAAGATCTTCTATTAGGTAAAAAGTGATGACCAAGTAATATTAAAAATAGAGTTAAAAAAAGCATGTTCAATATCATTTAGTAAATCTATGACAGAACTCTGAGCAGAAATTATTCCAGTATACCAAATTCCTAAGTAAGAATTTGTCTCTTTTGAAGCTACATATTTTTACATTAAATGATTTGTGCTAGATCACCTAAATTGAATAAAAGTATTTTTCTTGAATATATGTATGCTTGGATTTTTTTCAAATGGATAAATGGTATTATTCATAAACACTTCATGGTTGGTTTTAAATATATTGTTCTATTAAAGGTTTAACTTAATCTAATTTTATATTATTACAAATTTATTTATAAAAGTTTAAATACATGTAAGGGTGTTGGAAGCAAAAATGGTATTGTTATTGTGCTTCCATTAGATTTGTGTGTGTTTGTGTGTTTCAGACCAATCAATGTTAGCCTATTTTGTAGTGAGGTTGTTTAGCTGGTTGGTTTATTTTGGATTTGATAGGTGGAGTTGGTGATATTTTTCTTCTTATAGTGTAAACATAAATTTTTTTACAGGGTTCCCTTGAAAGAGCACTTGAAGTATAACTGTATGACCTTCTAGTCATGGAGTCCAGTGGCTTATATATCCCACACTCTAGTCTTACAAAATGGCCTTACTTCTGTGCACATTGTATACTAGGGTCCCATTTTAATTTTGACTAATCTCATTTGGGAATAATATTTGCTCATCTATAAAAGACTTGCATACATTTATAAAGAAGACTTTTTGAAACAATCAGATTTTTCTTTAATAGACAATAATTTAAAATATTTCTATTGATTTAAAAATTGTCATTGAGAAACAATCAGATTTTTCTTTAATAGACTATAATTTAAAATATTTCTACGGATTTAAAAATTGTCATTGAGAATCAGTGTGTACGAAATAAATAGCATTTGGATTAATCAAAAGCAAACGTTTTATATCTAGTATTGTATCAATATCCCTAAGTTATGTATCATATAGGCAGCCTGATTTATAGCGAATACAAAAATGTCGGGACAAACATTATAGCAATAAAAACACATGTGTAGGTAGATAGTAGTTCATATAAGCAAAACCTCTGCTGACTCAGAGGCTTCACTGGTTTTCTCACAGAAGTAGGAACACTCAAAAAGTACTGGGGTAAAATGCAATTTGAAAATTCCTCCCTGTGTATGACCCAGTGAACTCCAAATCATCTTTGAAGGGGCGGTATGAATGACACCTGGCTGTGAACCATATTGACCACCCTCATCCCAGAGCCACATTTTACCTTGCCTTATATAACTTTTTTGCAGTTATCACATTGTTTTTAATTAATGGCTTGTATGTAAATACCTTAGAACCAAGACCATGTTAATCCTCAGTACCCAATATATAACATATACTTAAACATTTGATCTATTAATATATAAATTAGTACATAGGGCAGAAATTCTTGTCTGTTTTTTTCACTACTATATCCTTAGTATCTAGAATAGTGCTTAACAAGTAGTAGGTGATTAATAGGAATTTTAAAAAATGAGTCAATGACTGGATCAATAAATGAAGAAATTGAGGGAATTTAAAACATTGTAGTAAATATCAGTAGCACAGAGAAAGGAAGTTTAGACAAGTTGGAATAGAAAGTACTTTTCATATTATCTCTAATTTATAGAATGATCAAGTCCCGGCCTCTGGATTATGCCTTTGTTCCTCGAACATGGATCTTCCCTGCTGAATATACACAATTTCAAAACTACATGAAAGAATTAAAGAAAAAAAGAAAGCAGAAGACTTTTATAGTAAAACCAGCTAATGGTGCAATGGGTCATGGGTAGGTATTTTTCATCTAGAATACATAAAATTTTTAAAGAATTGGGAGAAAGACTAAATGTAAGCATTTGCTCGTGGTTGAGTTCTAATATGAAAAAATAATAAAATGGATTCCTAATTGTTGCTTATTATGCCTCTTGGATATATAGGGTAATATTTTTCCTTTTTACCTTTTGAGACTGCCTTTATGAGCATGTTGATATTATTAATATCGTCTTGTAGGACTCTCAAGTCAGTTCATTTTTCTTTTATTTTACTTTATTATTTCTTAGACTAGTCTCAATTGATTTATCTTCAAGTTTGCTGATTCTTTTCTGCCTTCCCAAATCTTATGTTTAACCCCTCCAGTGAATTTTTGTTTCAGTTACTGTACTTTTCAACCTCAGAATTTGTTTGGCTCCCACCCACCTTCCCCACCACCTTTGAAATATAGTTTCTGTCTCTACTGATATTCTGCCTTTGGTGAGATATTATTCCTATGATTTCCTTCCGTTCTTTGTACATGATTTCCTTGAGCTCTTTGAGCAAATTTAAAATAGTTGATTTAAATAATTTATTGTCTAGTAAACAAAATGTCTTGATTTCTTTGGGTATAGTTTCTATTAATTGAGAATTTTTCTTTGTATGGGCCATACTTTGTTTTTTTTTTTTTATGACTGATGATATTTTGTTGAAAACTAGACATTATGAATATTTTAATGTAGCAACTTTGATAATTAGATTCTTCTCTACAGGGTTTTTTGTTACTGTTTGTTCCAGATGTTGTTTATTTGTTTAGTGACCTTCCTGAAACAGTTTTGTAAAGTCTCTATTCTTTATTGTGTGTGGTCTCTGAAGTTCCTGTTCTGTTAGGCCAGTGATCAGCTGTAATTGTCTAATCTGTTAGTATTTGAACAGAGATTTCTATAAACACTTGGAACAAAAAAATCCCCCCAATCCTTGCAGATGGGGTTGTGTGTGTGTGTATGCATGTTGTAGCATGCCTTCAGTGCTCAGCTAGGCATTTGCAACTCTGCCTTAGCCTTCACTTCCTGCTTATACAGAGCTTGATGGTTACCTAGGGCCTTCTCAAGTCTTTTCCTGAGCATGCATTTAACCCTGGGCATACATACGGGCTTCTAGAATCTTAGAAATAGTTCAGAGCTTTTCAAAGCCCTTCTTCCCCAAAGAGTTTCGTTCCCCAGTCTTTTACCCCAATCTTTTCAGTTAGTCTGTCGTTTTCCCCAAACATTTGTTGCCTTAGGCAGCAGGGACTAATACATCTGTCTCTAAATGTTTATCAGCATTTGTCTCCCATCTCCCTTCCCCAAGTAGCTGCGTCAGCACTGGGAGAGTTCTCAATTAGACAAGATAAAAGCAAATCCTTTGAGATCCTCCAGGGAACCCCCAAACTGATTTAAACACATGGGCAAACAAAGCAACCCCAAGAATAGGTCTGTTCTGCTACCTCTAGAACCAGTGCCTATAGTAGGAACAGGGGCTGCTGCTCAAGGCCACTGCTGAGCTGGGAGATGGAGTGGTACCAGAGTAAATTAAAATGCAAAGAAGTTCTTTTAGAGAGATTTAACTGTTTTGTTTTTGTTTTATTTTTTATTACAAGTTCCATGGTTATTACAAGCTTTTGGTTTGTATCCAGGATTCCAAAAAATTGCTTCTGACAGTATCTTTATGCTATTTTTTTGTGTGTATGTGATGGAATCACTTTCCTCTTGAGTATTGTCTGCAACTTTGTAAACATCTTGACTCCAAAATTATTCTTTTAATCTTTTCTTTAACTTTAGGATTTCTTTGATAAGAAATGGTGATAAGCTTCCATCTCAGGATCATTTGATCGTTCAAGAATACATTGAAAAGCCTTTTCTAATGGAAGGTTACAAGTTTGATTTAAGAATTTATATCCTGGTAACATCATGTGATCCACTAAAAATATTTCTCTACCATGATGGACTTGTGCGAATGGGAACAGAGAAGTACATTCCACCTAATGAGTCCAACTTGGTAAGTGGTACTAGACACTATGATTTTATCCATTTGTTCAGGATCTGCTTTTTAAAAATACCCATTGTGTATAAACATTAAATGAACAAAATTCTTCCTGTCAGATTTTTATAGTCTAGAAGAATTATATACGTAAACAAGACTGCCTCTTATTTATAGACAGCTTTGTGAAAATTAGAAAAAAATATGTATCTCCTGTTCCAGGAAGGCTGATTAGGAAAAGGCACCCCCTCTGGGTGCTGTGAGCATAAGGCTGGATTTTGAAGTATGTATGTGTATATACTGGTCCTGGATAGAAGTGACTGATGTGGAAATATAAGTTAAAATAATATGCCATTGAGAAGTGCAGATAAAGTGTAATGGAATTGAATGTAGGAATAGATTTTGTTCATTTTTCTCACGGTAAAGGGGGTATTTGAGCAGATTTTGTATGAAAGGTATGTTTTAGAATGTGGGAGAAAGTACATGAAACAGAGAAAGGAAATTTTATCAGAAAGAAAGTAGAGTTATAATTTTTATTGGAAGAAAAGAGAGGGTTTTAAATTTACGTTAACTAATTATGAAGTAGAGAAATACATTGGCAGTTTTGGGATACATTTTTAAATTCTATTTAGTGGAGATTTTTGTATTTTTCCATTAAGATTACCTTTGTGAAGCAATAACATATAGATGAAAGTCATGCCTGTATAGTTTATGAAGGTCTAACTATAATTTATTATCATAATTTATGATAAAAGTCATAACTGTAATTTGTACTTTATGAGAGATAAACTGTAGTTTATTCTCCACACTTAAGAGTTAAGTTAACCTCTACCTCTTTTTTTGGATCTACTAATTATAGTAAAAATTACACCTAATTAAGGATTGTTTCCCATTTTTGTCAAAAGCCTGGTTATTGCTCTTCTCCAATATTATATACATATTTAACTCCACCGAGTGGTCATTTTCCAAAATTAAATAATGACTGATCATAAAGGTTACTATGTTCAATTATCTAAAAAATGTTTTAGACCTGGTCAAGGAAGAAGTAAGGGAACTGCCAAAATTTTTACAGGAAAGGAAAATGAAAGAAAGCAGCATCTCTTTAAAGGTCATAAGGTGTAGATATATCCATTCTCCAGATAATGTTTGGACTCGACTGCATTCTAGACATTGTGCTGGTTTTGGAAAAACAGTGACCATGTACTTGGTCTTACAAAGCAACAATCTAGTGGGGAGGCAGAGAATAAGATAAGCAATTATAATGCCTAGTGATGAGTGTAATGGTTTAAGAAACTGAGGGTACTATGGCAGTGTATAGCAGGGGCATCTAACTCAGTTGGAGATGAAGGTTAGAGAGGGAGTTTATAAAGTAAATAGTGAATAGTTTCAATAGTGAGGGGTTAGCTAGGCCAGAGATGGAATGGGATGGGTTAAAACTCCTGGTAGAAGAGTGGCCCAGAGATGAGAGGGAGCATGTTATATCTGCAGAGAGTAGATGTGTTCAGCATGGCTGAGCCCAGACTAAGAAGGGCTTCCTAGGTGGTACTAGTGATAAAGAACCTGGCTGCCAATGCAGAAGACTTAAGAGATGTGTGTTTGATCCCTGAGTCAGGAAGATCCCCTGGAGGAGGGCATGGCAACCCACTCCAGTATTCTTGCCTGAAGAATCCCATGCACAGAGAAGCCTGGTAGGCTATGATTCATAGGGTTGCATAGAATCAGACACGACTGAAGCAACTTAACATACATGCACAGACTAAGAAAGGATGGATGTTCATATATCAGGATGGAGAATCCTAGAGGCCAGATCTTGGTAGACCATAGCTAGGATTATAGAATTTACCCTTAGAATAAAGGAAGCATTGAAAGATATTAAACAAGGGAAAGAAGGAATGAGATTTTTGTCCTAAAAAGTCACCTGGTCTACAGTGTGGGGAATGTGAGATGGTGCTATAAATGGATGGGAGAGACTAGAGTAAGGGGGATAAGAAACTGTATTCTAGTCTAACCATGTATGAGAAAAAAGATGACATAATTTGAAGTAAAGAATTAGAATATAGGTTTCAGATATATCTATGGTAACATAGATAGCATTGACATACTGACAGGTTGATTTGTTGAATGAGGGATTGAAGAGAGAAATTAAGGATAAAACTCAAACGTTTTGGCACAGACAGTTGGGTGGATGGGTGACATTCACTGTGACAGGGAGTACAGCAGCTTTTAAAGGCTTTGCAAAAAGCTGATGTGTCTGGTTTGCGATGCCCGTATAACTTCAAAATGGATCTATACTATTGGCATTTGGATATACAGTTTAGGTCTGATGTTCAGATGAGAGAGGTGAGCTACAGGCATAATCTGGGGCTTGTCAGATCATAGATTATAATTAAAATAGTTGGTGTGGGTAAGGCTGGATTATATAAATGTAAGGCAGATAGGTTTTGAGAGGAAAGAGGAAGGGACCAGATAGGAAAAGGTAAGATTTAGAAGCTCATTTGGATGATAAAGTGATTTATTCCAGTTTCCTAAGTTGTATGTGTATAATTTGCTTAAGTACACTGGGTTAGGAAGTCGTATTGAAGATTGAGAGTCAGGAGATGTGGCCTCTAGGTTTTGCTTTGCCAAGTACTGTTGAGTCACATAGTCTCCTGGCTTCGGTTCTCGTATGTATGAAAAGGTATATTCTCTTGTATAAACCTCAGTGTTCCTCATATACCTCTAAAATTTCATGATTGAATTCCTACATGAAGGTATGAAAAATTTAAAGAGTGAAATACAAAGCTTTATCTAAAATGAGGTCACTTTATGTAAAAGAAGTTTAAGATAAAAAGGAGGAAAAAGGAAACCAAAATGCTCCCATTTGGTTGTTTTGGGACAGCAGACTGCTGCATATTTTTTTCCCTCTTCATATTTCTAATTTTTAAAATAGTGTGTATTTTATGCATTTTGTCTTAAGTGAGAGTTAAATATTGGTAAACTACATATAAGGAGATCATATAAGAGAATTTCAGAAATTGAAATATAATGAACGTTCATTTTTTTGCTACCAATGTATCAGTCCACCAATCCTTGTAAAACTTTGTAATCCCAATTAATTATTTTGAGCCTATACATTGAAAAATAGGGTAGAGAATGTAGGTTGCTGTTGATTCATAGCTGCCATCACTTCCCCTTGTGAAAAATGTCCAACTGACAATTAACTCTTTGATGGGGATTTTTTGTCAAGGTAGATGTGAAATTGTGGAATTTCCAATCCTACTTACAAAGATAATGTTTTAAGAAAAATGCAGTTTCATTTCTCTTTCACTAGGATAGCTAGAATTTTTATTATTGCTGTTAGTATTCTGCCAAATGAAGAGCTCCTCAAAAATTATTTTCCAAACCAAAAAGTGATTTCTAGTTTGGAAAGTAGGAAATGTTACAGTTTGATTAATTTCCTTTTTCTTTAAATCAAGCACTTAAAATTAGACAAGCTTGAGATTTATGCACTGTCTTTTAACTATCACTTAAAGCTTTTTCCACTGTCTCTGTCTTGTTCGTCTTTGTGTCCACAGGGCCCAGCACACATTCCTCCCAGTAGTGGATGTTCCTAAAATTTTGTTCAATGAATGAAAAAAAAATTCTTAATTACTTGTGGGCATGTGGATTAGTAAATACATGTATTTACTAATTTATACTAAATACATAAAATAACGTGTAGCTCATATGATCAGTTCTATATATTTGTTTCAAAGATTTCAGTACTATAGACTTAAGTAACTGTAGTAAAAATAAAATATGATCTAAATATCATTGGTTATTAAGAAATCAAAATAATAATCATATGCTTGAAGTATATATTAATTGCAATGCAACATAGTTATCTAAAGTGGTCTCTGGGAGTAGGATCATGAGTGAGTGTTTATGATAGATCGACATGGAGCCGTTAAATCATGAGAAGTTTTAAATTTTGAGTTCTTTTTCAAGTTTGTTTGAGGATAACAGTGTCAACAAACATAAGACTATAAGGAGACTAAGACCCCTAAGAGCGCCAGTATGGAGCACTGTAAATTTACGGTTAGTCATTTAGACACGTGCGCAGCATTGTGTGGTGCTTCTGTCTGCTGACCCTGAGGGCCGTGTGTCGTGTTAGCAAGTCACAGTGATCTCCCCGTCAGGGTGGCAGAGCAGAGGTTGTGGTTGGTATACTGCTTCTGTTTCTGCTGCCTGCTTGAACTTTCACTTTAAAATTTTTGTTGGAAAAGACCCAGAATGCTGTCTCAGAAAATTCTTTTCCCAAAACAAATTAGGATGAAAATTTTAGAAAAACATGAAGACAAACCAACTAAGAAAAGCAAACTTCAGAGTTAGAGCACTTTTCCTGCTTATCAATATATAGTTTTGCATTTTCATTTAATTACCCTACATATCATTATTATTTTCATACTTCTATGGTAGATATATTTTCAGTAACATACAGAGTAACTTTGTAGATGACGATATTCACAATCCTTTTCAGAAAAACATGCTATTGCATTTTATTTGAAAATTATATAATCATGAATTATCAATCTGCATATTTTAAACTTTAAAATTGTCTTTTCTTTTTGGATACTTTCTTTTCTGTGAAACCTTGTGGTTCTAGAGTTTCATAGGTGATAACAACTTTGGTTCTTACTTGTTACAGACCCAGTTGTACATGCATCTGACAAACTACTCTGTGAACAAGCATAATGAACGTTTTGAAAGAGATGAAACTGAAAACAAAGGCAGCAAACGTTCCATCAAATGGTTTACAGAATTCCTACAAGCAAATCAGCATGATGTTGCTAAGTTTTGGAGTGATATTTCAGTAAGATTGTACCATTTCATAATTTTAATTGTCTCTCCTCATATTAATTGAAAGGATCATCAACCATTTAAAATAAAGAACCTGTTACATTAGATTGAGCAGATATAGTGTATTTTAATGAAGAAAGTGGTTTGTAATAAGTAGATAAGTAGTACTAATAGATAAGTAGTACTTTTACTGCCCATGATTGGAAAGGGAGTTTTAAATGGAGGCCAAAGCATAAGTCAGGCTTTCCTGGTAGCTCAGCTGGTAAAGAGTCTGCCTGCAATGCAGGAGACCCTGGCTCTGTTCCTGGGTTGGGAAGATCTGCTGGAGAAGAGATAGGCTACCTGCTTCAGTATTCTTGGTCTTCCCTCGTGGCTCAGATGATAAAGAATTGGCCTGCAATGAAGAAGACCTGGGTTTGATCCCTGGGTTGGGATGATGCCCTGGAGAAGGGAATGGCCACCCACTCCAGTATTCTGGCCTGGAGAATTCCATGGACAGAGGAGCCTGGCAACCTACAGTCCATGGGGTCCCAAAGAGTTGGACACGACTGAGCAACTTTCACTTTCGCTTTTCAAAGCAGAAGTCAAGGCATGGAGGTACAAGAATAGTTAAAAGAGGTCCAGATTGGCACATATTGTATTTGTGGGAGATTCATGAGGACTTATGATAATATATGTGAAGACTAACTTTTAGGCCTGAAAAGCAAGGCTTAACTTGGTAGACAGTATGGATTCATTCAGTTTTTAAGGGAAGTAATAATGCCAAAGGCCATGAATTTAAAAGATAAATCTGAGAATGAGTGCTAGATGGGTTAGAGTAAAGACCAAGAGTAAACAGAGGACTGTGCTTGAGAGTAGCTTAAGTGAGGATGGTCTGAATTGAAAGAGGTGACAATGAGGTGGACCTTAGAGATGAACTGAGTGTTCAGAATGGGGAGGTAGGAAAGAAGTATTCAGAGATTCCTCTGTAGTTCTAAGGAATAATTATGAGGTGAATGGTGGGTGTGGCGTTATTTAAAATAGAATAGAAAGAAATTTATTTTGAGAAGAGGATGTAGAGCTTAGTTTTGCAGATGAGAGAAAAGAGTTCTATATATTGATTTGTTAATTCATTCATTTATTCAGTAAACATTTGTTGAAGCTGTACTATAAGCTTGTCTCTGGCTGTTAATTTGAAGATATGTAAGATACAACTCCAAGAGTCTCAAGAGTTTGGTAGGAAAAACCTGCACATAAATTGTTAATAAAATGCAGTGTATCAAGTACAAAAATATAGACATACATTGGATTTGTGGAAATATAGATTAAGATCACATATAGTAGTAGCCTTTATATTGTAGAGGGAATAGATGGAGTATAGTGTAAATAGAGATAGGAAGAGGACTTCCTGGAGGAATTGACACCTGAATCAAGTTTTTAAAAGTCCACTAGGCTATGATGGATTTTACTTTAGATATGTTGAACTTGAAATTCTCTCCCAGGTAGAAAAGCAGGCAGTTAACAGTATATGTATGGGGTGAAATTCATAACTAAAGCCATGGCAGGGGATGCAATTCCAAATGGTAATGGTTAAGAGAGAAAAGGAAACACATATGAGAAGATAACCTTGATGAAACAGACCCTTTTATTAATCTTAGCAGAAATGTTAAAGTTATAGTTAGAGGAGTATGTCTACTGAAAATACTTAACGTGATGAGGGCTATACAATTCGATGTCGCTTTCCTTCTGGAACAAATGACGTATTTATATAAAGATATCATGGAAAATGGACATGAAAATTCATTGTTGGTTGAACTCCGTTCTCTTGAGAAAATCAGAGAAAAAAATCAGCATCATTATAATTCTTCCTTTTCCAGATGTTTTGTTGGTTGTTTCTTTCTAAATCATCTTTTCTGTGTCACAGAATGTAAACCCAAAGGCCCTTTGGTATCAGACAAGTAAAAAGGATTGAAGAGGTCTGGCTAGAAGAAAATAGGGCGTGCTTAGAACAGTGGTAATTTGAAGAGCATCCGAGGTCTAAGGGTGATAGACACTACTCAGCACCAGCTTATTGGTGCCTTGTGGCGTTTGGGCCCAGTGTGCCTCATTATCCTAATTTGTCAATAGGTACCATAAGTCTCCTGATTTATAAACATTGGCAACAGAGTCAAATTTTTTAGAAATTTAGCAGTTCCTTCAAATTTTGAAGTTTGTCGCTTGGATTTGGTCAAATTCTTACCAATTTGTTAACTTTTTATTATATCTTCCCGAGAGACTAAATACATCCAAACAAGAAATTTGATTCCAACAATGCTGTTTGTTTATCTGTGTATTTTATAGGCCAGTTCTTTTTTAATTCCAAAAATATTCTCATAATGATAACTTACTATCCTGTGGGTCAGAGGCATCAAACTGCTGAAATTTGCAATTTTGGAAAATAACTCATTGATGGTAGATCCTACTTTGTGATACCTGGATGATTTAATGAATGGGTTGTTTGATGACTAGCTCAGTGAGACCAAATTTTAGATGCCCTCTGGTGTTCTTTTTTCTTTACTAAATTCTTCACTTTGATTCTTCAGAGAAGTCTTTGTGAAAAGGTGGAACCTGTTGGGTTGTCTTGGTGAGGAATATATAGAGAGTCAATTAGAGAGAAAAATGAGTCCCATTAGCTTTACAGACATGGGTTTTAAGTGGTACTTTCCCCACATAATTGAATTAGGAGTACAACTAATACTAATGACTATGGAAATTAAGTTTTCAGTTAGAGCCTAGAATATAATTTTCAATATGACCTGAATATAGTAATTGTTCTCTTACCCATTTCATGATTTTTTTCTATAAGTGGATAAATTTTGCCTATATTAGTTATACATTAATTATCTTATAAATAACCAATTAATAAATAATAGACTGATAGCTTCCAAGTGCTTTCCTACAATTATCCTGTCAAACTGACTGTATTTATGTAATTATTTTAAAATTTCCATTCTTTATTAAGAATTACATATACTTACAGATATCTTCTTAAGATCAGTCAATGGGATAATGTACAAAAGAGAATGACAAGAGAAGGTGGAGAGGGCAATTGTGCAGTAAATTTTTATCTTAATAATTTACAAATTTCATGAATTTAACTTAGAACTTTTTTCAATGACCACTGTATTGATAATAATTTATCTACGAAGTAGCTGTCTGTATATGAAAATTAACATTCATCAACTCTCTATGTGTGCTTTTGTGCTGGTCAAGAATGAATAAGAAATCAAGAGAAAATCAGGCCATGAAGGTTAAAAATGACTAAAACCATTCATAAAATCATCCTTACTGAATGTCTTTATACACTTTAGGTAAAAATCTAAAAATCATCAATACTGGAAATTCTTAGAAGCATTAGTGGAATTTGTGTTTGATTATGTCATTCCTGACTTACATATACATGCAATCTTGTCTTTACATTCTTGAAAATATGTTGTTTTTTATGTAGAAAAAAACACAGATTTGCAATTCAGAGTCTAAATATTCACCCCCACCTCCTCACCCCCAGCATGTCTTATTTCACATAGACAATTGTTAGCAAAGGTTTTAACTTTTTTCCCTAGTCAAGTAGTTTCAATAATATCTCAAGATTTATGTAAGTATTCTTTGCTCTTTTATCTCCATATCTATGGTGCTATTAATACCATGAATTTGTTATTTTGAATAAAATTTCTGAGAACAGCCTTACAAGGCATCTCTGATAGACTCAAATACAGTCTGTGTTGGGATTCTGGGTAACAGTGAAATTAACTTTGTCTTCCATTTTTTCTGTCATATAATAAATACTGCTTCCCCAGGCAATGGAATATTTGTGGCTAACCAGACATATGAGGTGGAATTCTAGAAGAATGAAGGATAAACATAGCAATAGTAATTAAGTTGCTTACCCCTTTTGAAGGTTTACTCTGTTCTAGGCACTATGCTAAGCATTTCACATGGAGTCTCATTTTGTCCTTCCATCAGTCTTTTAAAAGCAGGTATTATTATTATTATTGCCAGCTTACATTTGGGAAAAATGAGACTCGTCAAGTTTAAGCAACATGACTGGGGTTGCACATCCAGCCAGTAGAAAAGCCTGGAATAACTCAGAAAGTCTGACTTTGGAGCCAGATTCTTAATTGCCATACAATATTGCCTGTACCTATAGTTCAGCTCAGTTCAGTTCAGTCGCTCAGTGATGTCTGACTCTTTGCGACCCCATGGACTGCACGCCAGGCCTCCCTGTCCATCACCAACTCCCGGAGTTTACTCAAGCTCATGTCCATTGAGTTGGTGATGCCATCCAACCATCTCATCCTCTGTCGTCCCCTTCTCCTCCCACCTTCAGTCTTTCCCAGCATCAGGGTCTTACAAATGAGTCAGTTCTTTGCATCAGATGGCCAAAGTATTGGAGTTTCAGCTTCAGCATCAATCCTTACAATGACTATTCAGGACTGATCTCCTTTAGGATGGACTGGTTGGATCTCCTTGCTGTCCACGGGACTCTCAAGTCTTCTCCAACACCACAGTTTAAAAGCATCAATTCTTCAGCGCTCAGCTTTCTTTATAGTCCAACTCTCACATCCATACATGGCTACTAGAAAAACCGTAGCTTTGACTAGATGGACCTTTGTTGGCAAAGTAATGTCTCTGCTTTTTAATACCTGTAGAGAGGGGCTTAAAAAGAATATATTCTAAGCAAAAACCAGGGGTACAGCTTTTCTGCAATCCATAGCTTGTTCTTAGACTTCAGTAAATCAACTTTTTCTTTTATTAGCATTAGTAACTCACCCTAGTTGTATTATGTGTCCTCAGAGAAAATGTTGATAGGTTGTTGATTGGCATTACTCTGATCTTAGATAAACCTTTTGAACTATGAAGTCATCACTGCATGGAGAAACCCAACTCTCCCAAATTTTGTCTTCTTGGCCTTTCAGCCTTTCTCTAAATGGAGGTTCTATAATGTTGCTTGTGAAATAGTTATTCTCCTTGGAATTTTTTTTGCCTCCCACCCCCTCCCCTTTTGTATGGTTTCTGAGAAGGGGTGCTTGTGATCCTAGCTTACCTATTGAACAAATTCAAGCCACATTCATAAACTTTTATTTTTTTTGTTCACAAATGATTTTCAGCATTTACTAAATGCCAGGTACTATTGTTAAGGACTGGGAATGGGGTTGTAAATGACACAGACAAAGACTCTGCCCTAAAACAAAAAGAAAAAAGATGAGCTGGGCCCATGCTGTGTAGTGACACAGTAAGGAATAATGTTTGGGTGCCTACTTTTGACTCAGGTGTCAGGGACTCTCTGAATATCAAGGAGCCAGACATTGAATTATTGGGGGAAGAGTGTTCCAGGAAGAGGGATCAGCTAGTGCGAGGAGCCTAGAGAAGGCGAGCATGCCTGGACCACAGTGGGCAGGGTGCAAGTTGGGTGAAATGCAGTCTGAGCAACAGTAGGGATAAGATACAGTAGAGTTTTGTGAACCTGGCCAGGATGCTAGTTCATAAATCTAGGCCTTATTTCCATGTATATAAATGAGATACAAAGAAATAAAGCTTTTCATTCTTTTGTTTGAATCACAATCCTTATAGGAATTGGTGGTGAAGACTCTGATTGTAGCAGAACCTCACGTCCTGCATGCATATCGAATGTGCAGACCTGGTCAACCTCCAGGAAGTGAAAGTGTCTGCTTTGAAGTTCTGGGATTTGATATTTTGTTGGATAGAAAACTAAAGCCATGGCTTCTGGAGGTAAGGTGTTTCTTTAAGAAGAAAGAGAAGTGAGTACTATTCTTGTCTATTAAAACAACTGCTTGTTAAATGTGTACTTGGCACAGTTATTTCATTCACTGAGCATAAAGAGTCCTGAGTGGAGTATCTTGGAGGAAGAAAATGAAAATTCAAGGAATACAACATTTGCTCGAGTGGATCAATGTGTTTGATCTTATTTTTCCCAAATCAGCATTGGGTGAATTTCTAGGCTAGGTATTGTGCATATATGCCTGGATCTGCTGTTACTGATTTGAGGTCTACTTTCTCTACCATTTTCTCAGCCTCGCAGATCTACCACCTCATGACTTCAGGATGTTGTGTTTCTTCTGTGTGGGTGCTTGGGCTGCTGGACTGTAGCTCCCTGGCTTCAGTGCCCCTCCCCTTCAAACTCTCCTAGAGAAGAGAGGCTCCAGTTAGCTCGTTAATCTTAGTTAACACCTAACACACTGGGTAACATGAATTCTTCAAGACCGTATTATGTGCCTAGGGCTCCCCTCATGTCTAGCCTGTCAGCTGTGCCTTTGGGTTGGTTTTCTGCCAGTCCCTGTAGTTAGAGTCATCATTATTTTACTTCCATTATAAAAGGTCACTTAACATTTAGAAAATACAGAGTAATATAAAGGAAAAGTGAAAATGATCTCTGTTTAAGTTTTTTTACCTTTCTTTTTTTTATTATGTTTTTATTATATATAGAAGAAACCCAAGAAGTCAAGTGGTCCTACAGCACCCCAACCAGTACACCTGATTCTGATCATCAGTCTCCATTGTCACCGATCGCATGGCCACGAAATACTGTTTAGGAAAATAGCACCTATCTAAACACTTAGTATTTACTAGACTACTTACATTTTAAGCAATATATTATTATAGAAGATTTCATCATCAACTACCTTTAATTTTAAGTTGATTACCTCTTTATTTTTGTTAATGATTTAGAAATCAGAAGTTACATCTGTAATACCAAAATTTCGGAAAGCAAATTGAATGAGTAATAGGTGAAATCAAGACATTCAAAATGTATTTTTAGGAAAGAACACTTCCTGTTTGAGGCTCCTGCTTTCATATGTGTATTTGTTGAATCTACTGTGAACAAATAATGTGTATTATATTGCTAATCAAATAACAACTCTGTCAGGTATTCAAATTATACTCCTGGCGGCTTGGATCCTAGAAATCAGATAAATGTGAAGAACTTTACGTATCCTTTTACTTCCTCCGTTCCTTGAATGTGAAAGCTCTTGATTCTGAACAGTGGCCCTTCGTCTTACTTAGTCCTGACATTGTCTTCTTTATTTATAGCATTTTCTTATCTTACTTTCCTTTCCTGTTCTTTGGTGTTCAGTTGAGTTTTATCCAGCTCTTTGTGACCCCGTGGACTGCAGCTTCCCTGCAGGCTTCCCTGTCCCTTACCACCTCTTGGAGTTTGCTCAGATTCATGTGCATTAAGTTGGTGATGCTGCTAACCATCTCATCCTCTGCTACCCGCTTCTCCTTTTGCCTTCAGTCTTTCTTCCAAGCATCAGGGTCTTTTCCAGTGAGTCAGCTCTTTGCATCAGGTGGCCAAAGTATTGGAGTTTCAACTTCCACATCAGCCCTTCCAATGAATATTCAGTGTTGATTTCCTTTAGAATTGACTGGTTTGATCGCCTTGCAGTCCAAGGGACTCTCAAGATTTTCTCCGGCATTACAATTTGAAAGTATCAATTCCTGTTCTTACCTATATTTTTTTTTTTTGCCCTATACTTGTCTTTTAGCTTTGATGGGGTGGGAAAGAAGTGAAGGCACGTGCGTGAAATAGAACTGAAAGGATAATAAAAAATAATGATTTTATAGGTATTTTATTCACCTAATTTTAAAAGCATTTGCCTAACCGAAGCTGACTGTTGCTTGGTTAGACCAGAATTGACTGAATGGTTGAATTATGTATTTTTTAAAAGCTCAAAAATACCATTGCTTGCATTCATATTTCTTCATACTTTATTTTCTCCATAACTTCCTGATCAACAAACCACTTAAAAAAAAAACACTCCACAATAACTTATTTTAATTTTATATTCATTGTTTCATCATTTTCAAATCAATCATAGCCCTTTAAAAAACACCACAATAATAGGCAGCTGTGAGTACTGAACATGTTTGAACATATCAAAACAGTTGAAAGAATCTGAGATCATAGTAGTGCGAATATACATTGTTAAAAACCTTTTGGCGCCATCAAGTGGAATAAGGCAGAGGATGCCTCTGAGCATGTGATAACTTTTAGTTAACTTCAGTAATTGCAGGCGATGATTCATAGTGACAAATTACAGAGATTTTCAATCATAGAAAACATTTTTAGGGAAAAACATGGGAATTAAGTGGAGTATAAATATACTTCTAATGTTTTAAGTATCCTTAATTTGCAAATCATTGCACCAGATGGTGGAGATAAAAGAAAAATAAGAGAATACTTGTCCTGTTTTTGTAGGAGACTCAGTTATGTGTTTTATAATAATAATTATGAGTATAAGTAGGAAACAGGAGGCAGCACAAACAATGATTCGCCTCTCTGTGTACGTGTGTATATTTGTGAGTTCAAAAAAGTCTTTGCAACAGAGTGAACACCTGGTCAGAGTACTTAGGGCTGTAGAAAGTGGGGAGGGGCCAGGGATTAGGAGAGTTGGGGCTGAGGTTGGGATAAGTTAGAGGCCAGAGGGAACAGCACTAATTTAGGAGCCCAGAAACTATTATGGAAACTTTTATCTGTGCATGAAATGATTGTGCTTATCTTGATAATAAAACTATGATTTGGACAGTTAATAAAGATATCAATTTAATTTGCTTTCTATTAATTTTCCTTTTGTGCGCATTTACAAGCTGCTGTACTTTAAGACTCTAACACTGCTAAACTTTGTCTGTTTTACAACCATGTTAGGAAATGAGAACAAAGAAGTCATCACATAATAGAAGTTTGGCTGGATGGAGCCATAATTTTCGGCATTTCTTCTGTCGGCCGTTTGTGGTTTTTCTTTTATTTTTTTTCCTTTAAATTTCTCATAAAACTTAAAATGCAAAATGTTAATTGAGTTAAGTTTTTTTACCTTTCCATATATTAGTTTATTTAGTATGGAGGCACATTTCTTCACAGACCAATTTCTTTCAAATGATAGTAGAGTGAAGAATCTGAAATAGATAAGAGAGAGGATTGTGATTGAATTGTATCAAGACCTCCCTACCATCCTGGTAGCGGGATATGTCTGGCAGAATTCCAGGCTGCAGTTTTGAAATGAAACACTAAGATATATACAGATAGATAACATTTCAGTGAACCACTTAATCATTGATTCCTAAATGTCTGTTTTACTTTAATAATCCTGTTATATCTAGCAGCAGAACTATCTCTGTTTTATAAATTCTAGAGATGGAATGCCAGAAACTTTTTTTATATAAAATATATTGCTGTATCCTTTCTCTGCACTTGTAAGAGGAAATGCTTGGAACTTTGAAGTAGTAGACTAATAAACTTCCTTTCTCAAAATCACCTGGAATAAATTCATATTCTTGCAATTACCAAGTTATTCTCTTCCACATCACAAAGATAGAAATAGGTTCATCACCTTTTAAATCAGAAATCAGCAAGGACATAATACAGTAAGGCATATATCTCTATTGAAGAAATTAGTTTGCCATATCTCTACACAAGGAATACCATGTAGCCATTAAAGTGATGGCATACAAGATTTATACGACACACCTTCAGAGAAAACCTTGGTTATAAAGTAAAATATGTAGTATAGAGATATATTTGGAAGGTAAAGTGAATATGATGAATATGTGTAGCAAATATCTGGAACACCATTTATCAAATGGTTAACAAAATGCTAGGTGTTGGGATTGCAGGTGATCTCTCTGTTGTCTGTTGGACTTTTGTTTCTAATTTTTCTGCAGCGATCTTGTGCCATATTTCTGATTAGAAGCATTTATATTCCTGGATGATTTAACTATAGTGTGGTATCTCCTTAAGCTGCCAGTTGTAAAATGCATGCTGTCAGTTACCTTGTCTCTTGTGGTGATGGATTTGTATAAGATGACCCTCTTCTATGAGTATTCATGTTTTTTGAGATGGCCTGTGGAATTAGTTGGTGGTCAAGAAGCTAAGCTGTAGATTTGAACTCAATAGTGTTCTCATCAATTGAGTTAATAGAATAAGTAATTTCCCTAAATATCTGCTATCCCAATTACATTTTCATAACGTCAACAACAATAACAACAAAACCCAACAACAGCAAAGAAAAAATAAAAACTCTAGCTCTTGAAGTTGTAGCATATTATAAACTACATATCTCTGTGTGTGTGTGTGTGTGTGTGTGTGTGTATATATGTATATATAATTGCTTGTTATTTTTCCTCTTAATGAAACTTTGGAAATGATGGAGTAAAGTAGAACAGCCACAAATGACTCATTTATTCCCATGAATCCTTAAACAGTTAGAAAAGCTTATACAGGTTAGTCTTCAGATACCTTTAACAGTATCCTCCAAGTAATTTCAGTGAAATGAAGTAAAATGAAAACTGATGAATTATTGTCTGATCCAGGTAGAAAGAAAGAAAGTTTATTTTTTAAGTAGCAGTGGATGATCCGTCCAGAGGATCTGAAAGCAGTGAAAAGAGGGCACTGATAATTTTAACATGCAAAATACATATGTGAATATAATTATTACTATATTGGTAACATGCATGTTATTTTTTGTTCTGTGTTATTATTCTTATTACTGGTCATCCAGACTTTTTGTCAGGATGAATCATTTTACGTTTCTAAATTTAATACCTGGAATGCATGGGGTGATAATTTGGTGAGAGTGGACTGGAGAGAGAGCAGATAATGCTGACTGAAAAATCCTGAGCTAAGGCAGCAGGGGGAAGGAGCAGTGATGACAGTCAATTCCTTGCAAGTCCTTGACTTAAATTAAGGTGATGGGGAATGGAGGTGTGGCAGTGGTGACTGGACCATCTACTATGTAGAGCTTTGAGATTTATTGTAGAGTCCTTCTACTGGTTGGGGATCCCACATTAGGTTAAAACATTTTTACTGAATATAGATTGATCTGCCAACATTTGGTTACTCATTGTTTTCTTTGTTAATTTCAGATCAATCGAGCTCCGAGCTTTGGCACTGATCAGAAAATAGACTATGATGTGAAAAAGGGAGTGCTGCTAAATGCACTGAAGCTACTAAATATTAGGTAAATTGTTTCCTCTGTCTTTTGGAATTTTTTCACCATGTTTGGTGTAGAACAGTCATTTGTAAATAGAATTGGCTTATAATTTTAGTATTTTATATTTTGAGTTTCTTGATTCTGTTCTTTAAACCCATTTAATTTCCTTCTTTTTAAATATCTTTTCCTCTCTTCCTGAACTCTGTTTCCCCTTCCCCCTGTGTGATTTGAACCTATAATAAATATGCTTAAATTTCATTATTGGCATAATTATTTAATACAGAGAATGAGGTGGAATTGGAGCATACCTTAGGAAACCTTCTAGATTGTTTCCTTACATCACAAGAAGAAACTAAAGCATAAAGGTCACTCAGAAAGTAAAGAAAACTAAAAATGCATTTCCTACCTTTCTATCCAGAGGTCTTCCCAGTATTTCAGGCTGCCAGGGTAAACAGAAAAGAGAAGCAGTTAAGTGAGCTTAACTTTTCCCATTGAAAAGAATAGGCAACATTTCCTTCTTTTTAAAGGCTGAATAATATTCCATCATACCACATTTTTTTATCCATTCATCTTGGCTGTTGTGAATAATGCTGCAATGAACATGGGAGTGTGAGTATCACTGTAAATCCTGATTTAAACTTCTTTGGATATATACCCAAAATTGGGATTGCTGGATCAATAGAATATTATTAGACTGACTGCCATTCACATGATCATGAATATCAAATATTTGAAATGTTACTATGTGGGAAGCTGTTAGCTTATTATGAGAGAAACTTGTTAGAAGTTTAACTGAATTGTTTAATGAAATAGGGAGCTGTCTGCTAGTATAAGTGTTCAAATAACTTCTAGGACATCTTTTAGGTCACTTAAACTCAGGAATTTTGTGATCTCTATTGATTCTAATTGTTATTTCAAGAACTCTGTAAGAGCTGTGGGATGCCTCCAAGCAATTTATTTACTTGAAATATTTTCAAACATTTAGTAAATGCCTGATTGAGAAGTAGATTTATATGGAAGGCATTATTAAAAAGAGATTAAGATATAACTCGTTCAGAAATTTTCATATGACCCCTTCTTTTTGTGATCAGAGAATGATTTGCCTAAATTCTGCTAATATTTCAGTTATTCTAAAGGAAATGAGTAGGAAGGAAAGAGATATAGAATGGGAAATTTTTATTTCACTTATACAAGTGTATCAGGTATTTTAGATTATTTAAGCAATATGCCTATACATTTTTTGGCATACTTATTGTTTAAGTAGTCCTGTCAAATGTACGACTTAACTTCTTAGTCTCCTCTTCAAATTTAAGGACTTCTTATTTCTCTCCTGGTCTGTTTTATTGATTCCCCTCCTTCAGCACTGACTTTCACACCATCTTGTGGTTTCTGCTCTGTTGCTCTCCAAGTCATTTAACAAGTGTTTATTGAGTGCCTACTGCTATAGGAGTAGGTGCTGGGGGTTCACAGTCTGCCATGACTCCTAGGTTTCTGGCTTGGATGAGTTGTTTGACAGTATGTCTTTTATTTAGATAAGGGTTTTAGGCAATGGGGGAAGTAGAAATTAAGAGATAATTCAGTTTTAAACATGCTGATTTTGAAGTGCTTTGAGACACTCAGGCGGAATTGTCAAGTGGGAGATTTGATATACAAGGTCCCAGGAGATAAGAGACCTCCATATGAGTGACATACATGTATGGATTATCGTTGAATCCAGTGGATGAGAACATAGAATGTATATATTGAGAAGTAGAGAGGGGCAACGGCAGAGCCTGAGGGATGCCAACATTTAAAGAGATACATGTAAATGCTACTGTTCTGCCCAGATTGTTTCCACGTTATCAGAAAGTTGAAACATTGCCTAGAAGTCATTTTTGATCTTTAGACATAGACTCTTTATAATCTAGCCCTTGCATCTCTTTCCAACCTGATCACCTTTTGTTCTCTTTTCCCTGCCTTGGAATTAATTTTTTTAAAGAACTCATACGATGCTGTTTCGCATGTCCATAGTTTTGTATACATTCTCATTTAAATTTTCTTTAGTTTTGTCCCTCTGGTTAATGTTGACTCATTTTTAAAAAACTGTGGTAAAATATACTTGAAACTTGCTATTGTAACCAGTTTTTAAGTGTGCAGTTCAGTGGCAACAAGTGCATTCACATTATGATGCAATAATTACCTCCATCCTTCTCCAGAACTTTTTCATTGCATGAAACTAAAATTCTGTACCTATTAGACAACTCATGTTTTTCCCTCCCACCAGCCCCTGGTCAACACCTGTTCTGCTTTCTGTCTCTATGAGTTTGATTAGGTACTTCATATAAGTAGAATCATACAATATTTGCTGTTTTGTATCTGCCTTGTTTATGTTAGCATGATGTATTCAAGTGTTAGTCTCTCAGTCATGTCCGACTCTTTGCAACCCCGTGGACTGTAGCCCGCTAGGCTCCTCTGACCATGGAATTTTCCAGTCAGGAATACTGGAATGGGTTGCCATTTACTTCTCCAGGGGATCTTCCTGACCCAGGGACCGAACCCAGGTCTCCTGCACTGCAGACTGACTCTTTACCATTGGATCCACCAGGGAAAGCACAATGTATTCAAGATTCATCCATATTGTAGCATGTGGTCAGAATTTCCTTCCCTGTTAAGGCCCATTGCATGTATATGCCACATTTTGGTTAACTCATTCTTGAATACCTAGCACAACCCTGACCTTCTGTTTGAAGCCTTTGCTGTAGCAAAGTGGTTTACTTCCTCGCTTTTGCCATCACCCCTACTACTGTCACTTTTTAAGCAGCATCCACTGTAACCTGCGTATTTATTCACGTGGTGTTCCCCTCTCCCCCTTTAGACCACTGCAGCTTGAGGGCGATGTCTCTATTCATCTTTGTATTTCCAAGGCCGTATCTAGAACTAGTGTATGGTGAGAACGAAATAAAATGATGACAAGGATGGGGAAGGACATTTCATTCAAAGGTGACTCCTTGTAGTAAGATTAGGAAGTGAGGCAAGCACAGCATGTTCATAGAACTTCCAGAGTTTTCATATTACAAGAGCTTGTATGTGTGAGTCCAGCTGATTAGAAAGAGAGAACCGTTGGATGGAATCACAGGATAATAAGTAGTGGAAAGAACTCAAGAAAGTGCAAACAAAACTCCTTAGGTCAGTGTATCGATATAGCTGAGCGGAAAAACACTGATTAAAATGCTGAGTGGATGGAGATCCTTTGGTCTCTGGTTAAATTTTGTTCTGGACTGAGAGTCATTAGTGCTTATTTATACCGGTTTTTATAGGAATGCAAACATGGCTCTTTACCTGTATCTTCTTGAGCTGTGTGTGTGTTAGTGTCCTTGTCTGTGAGTGAAGTGTTTGCTATGTAGAGGTGCATATATCTCTGCCTTCATTTCTTCCGCAGCATTCTCTTCATGGTATTCTCAGCCTTTTTTTGTTCTCCTTCCCTCTATTCTGTCATTTCATTTTTTCTTTCTCTTACCTTTTCTCCTTTCCAATTGTTTAGTGTTCTTTCCTCTTCATTTTATTTCTATTCCCCCTTTCTCTCCTGTCTTTCCTTTAAATTGTATGGCATGTAGAAATGATTTGTCCTAGGTAAAACAGAATAAAATAAAAGTTAAGTGCTACCTAAATCACGTTTTCCGTTTCCCTAAAAAAAGGAAATTCAGCCAAATTCCGTATTTATCACTGGAAAAATTATATTCTTAACCGTCCAGTTACTAAAATTAGAAACCTTGTTGCCATCTCAAGTTCAACCCTTTTTGTTGTTACTTCTCACATTTAATTAATAATAGTGATGAATCACCAAAGCAAATTTGGAAAATTCATTTGGGGCCACAGGAGGGGAAAAGGTCAGTTTTCATCCCAATTCCAGGCAAAGAAAGGCAAAGAATATTCAAACTGCTGTACAAATGTGCTCATTTCACATGCTAGCAAGGTAATGCTCAAAATCATTCAAGCTGGGCTTCACCAGTATGTGAGCCAAAAATATACAAGCTGGATTTAGAAAAGTCAGAGGAACCAGAGATCAAATTGCCATCATCTGTTCTGTTGAGTTCAGTCGCTCAGTCGTGTCCGACTCTATGCGACCCTATGAACCTCAGCAAGCCAGACCTCCCTGTCCATTACCAACTCCCAGAGTTCACTTAAACCCATGTCCATTGAATCGGTGATGCCATCCAACCATCTCATCCTCTGTCATCCCCTTCTCCTCCTGCCCTCAATCTTTCCCAGCATCAGGGTCTTCTCAAATGAGTCAGCTCTTCCCATCAAGTAGCCAAAGTATTGGAGTTTCAGCTTCAGCATCAGTCCTTCCAATGAACACCCAGGACTGATCTCCTTTAGGATGGACTGGTTGGATCTCCTTGCAGTCCAAGGGACTCTCAAGAGTCTTCTCCAACACCACAGTTCAAAAGCATCAATTCTTTTGTGCTCAGCTTTCTTTGTAGTCCAACTCTCACATCCATACATGACCACTGGAGAAACCATAGCCTTGACTAGATGGACCTTTGTTGACAAAATAATGTCTCTGCTTTTTAATATGCTGTCTAGGTTGGTCATAATTTTCCTTCCAAGGAGTAAGTGTCTTTTAATTTCATGGCTGCAATCACCATCTGCAGTGATTCTGGAGCCCCAAAAAATAAAGTCAGCTACTGTGTCCACTGTTTCCCCATCTATTTGTCATGAAGTGATTGGACCGGATGCCATGATCTTAGTTGGATCATAGAAAAAGCAAGAAAATTCCAGAAAAAATCTACTTCAGCTACATTGACTATACTATAAAGGCTTGATTGTATGGATCACAACAAATTGTGGAAAATTCTTAAAGATATGGGGATACCAGACCATCTGACCTGTTTCCTGAGAAATCTATATGCAGGTCAAGAAGCAGCAGTTAGAACCGAACATGGAAAAACAGACCGGTTCCAAACTGGGAAAGGAGTACGTCCAGGCTGTACATTGTCACCCTGTATTTAATGTCTATGCAGAGTACATTATGGAAAATGCTGGGCTGGATGAAGCACAAGCTGGAATCAAGATTACTGGGAGAAATATCAGCAACCTTGTATATGCAGATGATACCACTCTAATGGCAGAAAGAGAAGAGGAACTAAAGAGCCTTTTGATGAAGGTGAAAGAGGAGAGGGAAAAAGCTGGTTTAAAACTCAACATTCAGAAAAACTAAGATCTTGGTATCTTGCCCCATCACTTCTTGGCAAATACATGGGGTAAAAGTGGAAACAGTGACAGATTTTATTTTCTTGGACTCTAAAATAATTATGGATGGTGACTACAGCCACAAAATTAAAAGATGCTTGCTCCTTGGAAGAAAAGCTATGGCAGTCCTAGACAGCATATTAAAAAGCAGAGATATTACTTTGCTGACAAAGGTCTGTATAAGGCCTTTGACAAATGTCAAAGTTATGATTTTTCCATTAATCATGTATGGATGTGAGAGTTGGACCAGAAAAATGGCTGAGTGCTGAATAATTGATGCTTTTGAATTGTGGTGCTGGAGAACTCTTGAGTCTCTTGGACAGCAAAATGATGAAAGCAGTCAATCCTAAAGGAAATCAACCCTGAATATTCATTGGAAGGGCTAATGTTGAAGCTGAAGCCCCAGTACTTTGGCCACTTGATGTGAAGAGGTGACAGTGGAAAAGACCCTGATGCCAGGAAGGATTGAGGGCAGGAGGAGAAGGGGAGACAGAGGATGAGGTAGTTGGATGGCATCACCAACTGAATGAACATTAGTTGAGCAAACTGCGGGAGATAGAGAAGGACAGGGAAGCCTGGTGTGCTGCGGTCCATGGTGTCACAAAGAGTCTGACACAACTGAGCAGATGATCATGCTTGCAGTGTCATTCCAAGTTAATCTTTATAAGAACTTTAGAAGAGAAGTGCTATTGTTAATATTTGATAGATAGAAAAACAGACCCAGCAATTAATTGACCTAAGATTTTATAGCTACTCAGTTGCTATACTATCACCATTTTCTCTTGTTCCTTCAAAACTTCTGTTTGTTGGATGGAAATCCATATTTGATGAATGAGTAGATAAATACATGTGTGAATATATAAATGTAATAAACATTGATTCCTATTCCCACTGTATCTCCTCTTCTGCTAATTCTCCTTTACAGGGATAAGATCAAAGCTTATTTGAATTCTGGAATGTGGTCTTATGTTCTATATTTTAGGACCAGTGATAAAAGGAAAAACTTGGCTAAACAAAAAGCTGAAGCTCAAAGGAGGCTTTATGGTCAGAATTCAATAAAAAGACCCTTACCAGGTTCCTCAGATTGGGAACAACAAAGACATCAGTTGGAAAAGCGGAAAGAAGAGCTGGTATGAAAATTTTAACAATGTACATACGGTTTGAATTACATAATTCACTTGTCAGGTTTTATTTGTAAAATGTCTTCATTTCTAGAAGGAGAGACTCGCTCAGGTACGGAAGCAGATCTCGAAAGAAGAACACGAAAATAGACACATGGGGAATTACAGGTAAACGTGCTTTTGTTTTTTTATAGATTGAAAAAGTGAAGTGTCAAAACAGCAGTGTCTGTATTTTTTAACTTTTAGGCTTATTTTAAGCCGTGTTTATTTCATGCTGAGAAAGTACTTTTTGTTTAATTTACTTCCAGCAAGGAAAGATAGTCAGCAAGTAGATGGTTAAGACTTGGTGAGAGCTCCTGCTTGCCATCCTCAAGGGTGGTTGTGTAAAGTCTTTGAAGCCTGATGTTATCCTGTTATATTATTTTATTATCAAATAATATTTTGAGAAAGTCAGGTCTCTTAGTATTCTTTCTATCAGTTCAAAGTTGTTTTTGTACTTTGCTGTAAATTCAAATGTATCAGGAAGGAGGCAAATAGTGAAACTGTCTGGAGGAGCCAGTGTGAGACAGTGGAAAGGGACGTGGACTGTGTGGAACTGCACCCCCTCCACAGTGTCACATTTGACAGGAGAAGACGGGGGCCGCTCTAAGCCCTTTGTGTTCCTGGAAAGACTGCCCCTCTTCCCAAGATTTGATAATGACTCAGCAGAATTAGGAGAATTTGACATCATTGAACTTCCTGCCCTCCCGGTAAGGTGTTCTTTCCAGCCTTAATACCATCAGCAGTAGTGATGAAAACACATTCCTCTCAACCTAATTGTCTACCTAATTTTCTCCAGCAGAGAGGAAAATTCTGCCACCCCTCAAAAAATCACTAGGCTTAATCCCTACATTCTTGTATACATCAATAATCACACTAAGTCTAAAACTTTCCAAATCTCATCACTTAAACTATCTCTGACAAAGCTCTCCAGTATTTCTCTAATATGTCCCATTGCAATTCTTCTTAAACCACCTCCCCTCAACCAGATCTTTATACTATGCTTTCTGGAACTCATCACTTAATGATAATTCTCTAGATAAACTTCAGTTTGTATGGGTAACATAAAAATTTATGGATTTCTCGTACTGTATTCATCTTTATTTCTAGCACCTAAGAAAGTGCCTGATACAGAGTCATGGATTATCTTTGTTGTTTTCCTTACGTCTTGCACTATAATAGCTTTTTTTAAAAAGCTGGTTTATCTGATTTTATTGTAGGCGAATTTATCCTCCTGAAGATAAAACACTACTTGAAAAGTATGAAAATTTGTTGGCTGTTGCCTTTCAGACCTTCCTTTCAGGAAGAGCGGCTTCATTCCAGCGAGAGCTGAATAATCCTTTGAAAAGGATGAAGGTAAAAGAATGAATGTTTATAAAGAAAAAAAAAAAGAATGAAGCCAAACAATATGTCTTTAAAAACAACCCATCTTAGTTCCACACGTAAAACCATTTCACTTTTAAGGTGCACTTTTCTTCCATTTTAACAGTTGGTCGTGTTTCGTAACCAGGCAAATGATTTCATAAATAAGTTGTCTAACAGGACAAATTACGAGGTAGAGAATGTTGATGTTATTTTGTAATCTATTGAAATAAATGTTTTATTATAGAGTTGTGTATACATAACTGAATAAAAAAATAGATTGAAATAACCTAGTGGTTTGTGATGTTCTCATTATTTGGATTATAACTAGTACTATACAATATTTTTTCCTGATGCTGCATAGACATGGCATATGAGAAATAATTGAAACACACACATACACATGCAGAATAACCTGTATGCCTTATTAAAAGGTCTATTAGTTATCTATTGCAATATAATAAGCCATTTCATTTATTTGCTCATTATTCTGCAATCTTGTCTGGGCTCAGTTGAGTGACTCTTCTGCTGAGCTAGCTTGGAGTGAATCATATATTTGCATTTATTGGAAAGCTCATCTGGGGATGGAAATTAAAGGTGGCTACACTCATATGTCTGGTGCCTCAGTTGAGAGAGATGGAACATCTGGAGAGCAGGCTGGGTGTCTCTTTCTCTTTACATGAGCTTGTAAGGAGGGTAATCAGAACTCAATAGGAGCTGAAGTTTCCAAAAAGGAGCATTTCAAGAGGACAAGCCCAGCATGCAGAGGCTAATCAAGCCCCTGCTAGCGTCATGCTTACTAAAGTCCCACTGGACAAATAAGGGTTTTTTTGTTGTTGTCTAAAGAGTCAGTGGTCTTTAATAGTTTTTTAAGTATTCATATTTATATCATAGTTACATTTTCTTGTGTTCTCAATTCCAGCATGCAGATCTATTATAGTTGTTTATATTTTATATTGCTGGAAATCTCCCTAGTGTGATACCTCCATATCTTGGCTACCCTGTTATACTGATTTAAAAATCGTGGTAAAGCTTATTATAAATAGATTTTTCTACAGTCTTTGCACTCAAATTCTGCAGTAGAAGGTTATAAAGCCATTTTCAAGTGGAATAGGCCAAAGAGACAGAAGCAGAAGGGATATTGTATACTGTAATGCTCTTTTCCTTCCAATTTCCCTCTTTTGACATATGCAGTTATTTCCACTGTTAGAATTATGTTCTGTCATTTTTTTGTTTTTCCTGACCCAGATAGTGAGAGACCCTTGTTAATTTTCCTTCACCTGTTCTGTAATGTTATTTCTGTCTCCTGTGAATACAGTCTTTGTTCCATCTTCCCATCACTCTGTACTAAGAAATACTAAGCATTTTGGACCCAGACAGACCTATGTTCAAATTCCAGCTCCCCTATGTTTTAATTTTGTAAACTTAGACTAAACTATTTGTTTGATTGGATCACTAATAAAATAGTAATATTAAAAGTATATTTGACAGGTTGTGAAAATAAAATTGAGGTTAAGTAAAATAGTTTGTTTAAAGTACTTGCAGTTCAGTTCAGTCGCTCAGTCATGTCTGACTCTTTGCCACCCCATGGACTGCAGCATGCCAGGCTTCCCTGTCCATCACCAACTCCCGGAGCTTGCTCAAACTCATGTCCATTGAGTTAGTGATGTCATCCAACCATCTTATCCTCTGTCGTCCCCTTCTTCTCCTGCCTTCAATCTTTCCCAGAATCAGGGTCTTTTCCGATGAGTCACTTCTTCTCATCAGATGGCCAAAGTATTGGAGTTTCAGCTTCAGCATCAGTCCTTCCAATTAATACATTTTGAAATTTAGTTTAAATGTCAACACTTTGCCTACCCCATTCCATTGGTCTGTGAGCCTATTCTTATACAATCTTCGCACAATTTTCATTACTGTTGTTTCATAGTGTCAAAACTAGGGAGAGTGAGTCCTCAAATTTCTTCCTTTCTTCTAAACTCTTAGCTTTTCTAGTCCTTTTATTCTTTCATAAATTTTAGAATCAGTTTTATTCTAAATCTTGATTAATTTTTTAATTACAAAAAACACTGCTGGTATTTTAATTGGGATTGAGGAATTTATAAAACAATTTCTAGGGAATTAACAACACTGAGTCTTATGATCCATTAATATGGCATATCTCTCCATCTACTTGGATCTTTAATTGGATCTTTCTCTATGTTGATAGTTTTCTGTTTATATTTCTTGTGCATAGTTCATTAAATTTATTTGTAAGTATTTAATTCTTAATTTTTTGCTATTGTTGCTGATAATATTGTTTGTAAATTTTTTTGTTTTTGATTTGTTGCCAGGTTGTAAACTTCTGGTAATTTTTGTATTTTGCCTTTTATATCTAGCATTTTTATGTGTTGTATTTCTACTAACTGCATTTCAAATTATATTCTGACTTTTATTTTCATTACTTAGAAGTTTGTTGCTTAATTTCCATATGTTTAAAAAGTTCTAGTTTTATTTGTGGTAAGAATTTCTTGTTTAGTTCATTGATGTTAGAAAACATGTTCTGATTTTAGTCTTGTAAAATAAATTGAGACTTGCTTTAACTTAATATGGTAACTATTTTAATAAATTTCCAAATTTACTTGAGAATAACATGTATGCTACAGGTGATGGTTATAGAGTTTTATATATGTCTTTTAAGTAAATTTGGCTATTACTGTTGTTCAAATATTCTATAACGTTTCTTATTATTTTGTCCTGCTTGTTCTAGCAATTACTGAGAGATTTGTTAAACATTCCAACTGTGATTGTGGATTTAGTTCTGTCGGTTTTGATTTCATATCCTTTGAAGTTACAAAGGTGTCTTTTTAATGAATTCATATACTCTATTTTACCATTATGAAATGTAAATCTCTTGGGTATTACTTCTTGTCTTAAGATTTACTTTGTGTGATTAATGGAGTCATACTAGTTTCTTTCTTATGATTACTATTTCAATTACATATCTTTTCCATCCATTTATTTTCATACTTTTTAAATCTTTTATTATACTATTTTATCTTTTATCTTTTTCTCTCAATTATTTTTATTATACTATTTTATCTTTTGTTCTATTTTTATTTGTAGCATAATATGATTTTTTAAAATTAATTTAGTTTTTATTGAAGGATAATTGCTTTACAGAATTTTGCTGTTTTCTGTCAAACCTCAACATGAATCAGCCATAGGTATCATGATTTTTTTCTCAAAAGAAATTACAATATGCATCCTTTAATCATAATAATCTACCCCGAATTGATATTTTACCACTTCATAGACTATGTAAGGACCATATCAGTTTAGTTTCATTTAATGTCTCCTTCCATAGTTTGTGCTGTTATCATATACTTTACTTTTACATAAGTTGCAAACCTCAAAATGTATTATTGTTACTATTATCTAAGCATTCAATGATTTTAAATTGTTTCCTATGTAACTTCTCATGTTTACTTACATGAGAAGTTACTTACATGTTTACTTACCTTTTGTGTCCTTCATTCTGTTGTGCATATTCATGCTTTTGACAAGGTTTGTCTTCCTTCAGTTTGAAGAAGTCTATTATTTCATGTTCCTTGTAGCATGAGTGTAGTGGTGATGAGTCTCTTGCTTGTTTTTTGTTGTTATTGTTTGTTTGTTTTTCTTGGTTTTGGTTTTTGTCTGCAATTGTCTTTTATTTATGCCTTTACTTAAAATTGTAGTTTAACTGAGTATAGAATTCTATGTTGGCACTTCTTTTTTTTAAATACCAGCACATCTGAATGTAATATGACTTTTTTTTCCTCCTGGCAGCCTTTTTCTTTATTTTCAGAATTTTGACCTTGATGTATCTGTGGTTTTTTGTTTTTTGTTTTTTTTTTTAATATTCACCCTGCTCATAATTTTCTTGATCTCTTGAAGCTGTGGATTCATCTCTCTCATTGGTTTTGGAAACCTGTCCTTTGCTTTTCCTTCAGATCTTTTTGCTGTGTTATTTTGTATATTGTCTCTTTATGGGACTCTCATTACACATATTAGGTCATTGGACAGCATCTCACATACAGTTGGCCTTCTGTATTCACTGGTTCTGCATCTGTGAATTCAACCAACTGTAAAATATTTGGAAAAAAATTCAGGAAGTTCCAGAAAGCAAAGCTTGAATTTGGCATGCTCCAGCAACTACTTTCATCGCATTATATTTGTAACTATTTATATGGCATTTACTTTGTATTATGTATTATAAGTAATCTAAAGCTGATTTAAAATATGTAGGAGGATTTGTGTAGGTCATATGCAAATATTGCACCATTTTGTATGAGGAACTTGAGCATCTGCAGATTTTGATATCTGCAGGAGGTTCTGGAACCAACCCCATGGCTACTAAGGGACAAACTGTGTCTTCGATATCATGTTCTACTTTCCTTCTCTCTCTCTCTCTCTGTCCTTCAGTTTGGATGATTTCTGTTTTTGTATCTTTGCTGAATTCCGTGTGCCTGTAAGGCTATCCAATCACTTCTTATATTTTTCAACTCAAGAATGTCCATTTGGCTTTTTGAATTCTGTTTCTCTATTAAAAGTTTGCATCTTTTATTCATTACGTTTTTATCAATTTTATCTGATATGCATATAAGTTATTTTAAAATCCTTGTCTGTTAATTTTAACAACTGGATCATTTATGGACTTGCTTTTATTGACGATTTTTCCTTTTAATTGTGGATCACGTTTTTCTGTTAGTTTGAATGTCCTATAATTTTCATTTATTCTACAGACATTGTTAAAAATCATCAAAATTGAACTGATACTGTTTTGTTCAAAAGAAGGCGTTTGTTTCTTATTTCAGAGTGCTAGGTCAAGAGGCTAATTTTTGAGGCAAAGAAAAGTTGAGCAAAAGCAAAAACTCAACAATGGGAACTGTATCAAACTTAAATGTTTCTGCACACCAAAAGAAACAATCAACAAAATGAAAAGGTCACTTACAGAATGGGAGAAAATTTTTGCAAACCATGTATAAGAGAAAGGGTTAATATCTAAAATTTGTAAAGAACTTATACAACTCCATAACACACATACAAATAAGCAACTTGATTAAAAATGAACAGAGGGACTAAGTAGATAGTTTTCCAAAGAAGATATTCCAGTGGCCAACAGGTACATAGAAAGATGTTCAGCATCCCTAATCATCAGGGAAATTCAAATCAAGACCACGATGAGATATCACCTCACACTTGTTAGAATGGCTATTATCAAGAAGATAAGAGGTAAAAAGTGTTGGATAGGATGGAGAGAAATGGGAACTCTTATAATCCATTGGTGGGAATATAAATTTGTTCCCAATAAATTTGTTTTCACTAAAGAAAACAATACAGAGGTTCCTCAAAAAATTAAAAATAGATCTACTATATGATCCAGCAATTCCATTTCTGAGTATTTACCCAAAGGAAATGAAAACAGGATATCAGAGATAAATGCACTTCCATGTTTATTGCGGCATAATTCTCACTAGCCAAGTTATGGAAGCAACCTAAGTGCCCATCAGTGGATGAGCAGGTAAAGATGATGTGGTATATATATAAATGGAATATTAGCCACGAGAAAGAAGGAGGTCCTGCTATTTGTGACAATGTGGATGGAACTTGAGGACATAAGTGAGATAAGTCAGACAGAGAAAGACAAATTCTGTATGATATCACTTGGACGTGGAATCCAAAAAAGACAGATGCATAACACAAAGAGTAAAACAGTGGTTACTAGGGCTGGGGTGTGGTGGAGTAGGAGAAATACTGTTTAAGGGTACAGTCTTGTAACTAGAAGTAAATAAGCTCTAGAGATCTAATGCTCAGTATAGTGAATATAGACAACAATATCATATTGTAATTATCAAGCATTACTTAATTATCTCAGTCTCAAGAAATGGATGATTATGTGATATGATAAAGGAGCTAACTATTGCTAAAACGGCAATCATGTTAAATGCATAAAGGTATCAAGTCAACATTTTGTCTTCCTTAAATTTACACGATGTTATATGTCAAATATATTTCAACTAAAAATGAAGTAAAAGAAAAAAGTTGAACTGAGGCTCAGGCTGCGTTGCAGAGGGTTTGCTTTAGTTTACCTCTGGTTTCAAACACCTTGTGAGTGGTATCTCTTCAGTCTATTACAGGCCTCATTCTCTACTGGTATCTAGTAATTTCACGACTACAGAGAAGTGTTTCTGGTTTTTTATCCATGGCTCTGTCCTCCTATTCCACTACATACTCAACTAAAATTGCTGTTGGAGAGGCAGAAGGTGAAGAGAACCAGGTTTGTGGGGCTCTTCTAGGCGTCTTACTAGCCCACATGACATTAGAAAACTCCACTGAATTCTTGCAGAATCTCTATGCTTATTATAGGCCTCTCTACTCAACTGTTTTCTAGGCTTGACAAATGACCCCAACGTGGAAAGTGGCCACTTATCTCTGCTCACTTAGGAGCACTTTTCCCTCTCTGGTATAATTCCTTTTACATTACTTTTATCCATAGCTTTCTGATGTCTTAAAAAGTATGACTATTTAGTTTATCATCTTTTTTTAGCTTTTATGATGAAAATATTGTCTATATGACCTTCTTTCTCCAAACAAAAGTGGAACTCCTTATTTTTTAACTATTGTGTGCTGCTATCTTTGGAATTCGTTGTAGGATTGTTGTTTAATCAAAGCTTTATAACAAGAATCTTTTGGTATTTTAATAACTAAATCTTAGGTTGGGATGAAGAGTGACCTTTTTTATGGATTTCCATTGCACAGTGAGATTTCTAGTTTCTAGTAACCCCCCTTTAAAAAAGAAATACAAATATAAGTCATAAATATATAAGTGAAGATATGATATTTTATATGTTGAATAAATAATGAAAGCAGGTGACTGTACCACTTTTAGTATAGCTATTGTACTCCTGTTGCTCCTGAGTTTTCATAATGTTACCCTTTGACTTAGAAGTGACTTTTGAAGAGTGTAAGAGGATATTAGGCCTATAGAATGAAAAACTTTCATAAAGTTCTAAAGATATCCTTGTTCAATAGTTAAAAATTTGAGTTTCATTAAATTGTGTCCATTACCTAAATATTGACATTGAATTGTTGTAAACGAACCTATTAGGCCAGTCGTCAGTGTTCTGTCTGAAGTTGTAATTTTATTTTACACTAATCGATATGGAAATGATTGATGAAATTCTGGTCTAGAGAAATCAGAGTGAACTTCTAGAAGTTTTAAAGTATCCAACAGGCTAATTTATTGAAGTATTGTATTCTAAGATATTAATAATTTATGAAAACATAAGGATATATTTGTTTATGATTATCACTACATAATACTTTCAGCTTAGTACTATTTTTATTACCATATTTTAGTGAAAGTTTTTTCAAGAGTTTGCCATGATCCTTTATTTCTCATTTGATCTGAACAATCTTTCTTAAATAGTTTTTGGAATCTTTACAATACACAAAGACTAATGAACTTGGAAAAACTCTGGAGTCCATTAGTGATCATGATTTTAATTAAATTTTATTTTTTTAAGGAGGAAGACATTTTGGATCTTCTGGAACAATGTGAAATTGATGATGAAAAGCTAATGGGCAAAACTCCCAAGTCTCGAGGACCAAAGGTACCTTCTCCCTTACTTCCTATCAAAGTAGACTCTTCTATGGACAGTTGATTTTCTTTTCACTTTTCTGACTCTACAAATGACTGATGCCACTTTCAAGAAACTTCATGGACTATGTTTCCAGCGAAGATAGAATTAGATGACATTGTCTTGTATTTAGGAGAAGCTTCATTTCGTTAGTTTATCTCATTTTCTGATTCCTGGATCGAGTGAAAGACCTATGAGTCAGGGTCAAATGAGACCTAGAACTGGTACCATCATTATATGCTCAGTATTAAGTTTTCCATATATCTCCAGACGTATAATTTTCAGAGATGTGTAGCATTTTAGATAAGACAAATCATGACTCTAGAGATACTAATGAGGAGCCCCATCTTTTCCTAGCCCTCCTATATTAAGTTTGTGTAAGGTAGAACAGTTAAAGTTTCTAATACATAGAAAGTGATCATGCTGGCAAAAATAGGCATGTTTGCTTTACCTTCATCTGCTCTGTGCTTCATTCATGTGTTCTTTTCATGTCAAAGGCTTTGCAAGTCAAGTGCGAAATTTGAATTCCTAACATCTTGGAAAGATTTTTCATTCTGCTTTTTTTCACTTTACATTTCAGCAGTACTAAAACTATCACTTCATCCTGACAGATATCCTGCTCTGTCATGCGTTCATGATTTTTCTTACATGCCTGCTTACTAAAAAATAATTGATTCACTGCTTGATTGATTAGAGACCCTCTCCTCATCTAGTTGCTGCTGTGAAATCTTCTCCCATGCCTCTTATTAGACCTGGATCTTCTGTCCTCTCCTTCTATTGCTGTACCACAAATGACACTTTTGTAAAACAGTTATGATGAAAGATTGTATGTATATTTGCCTTCCTATGAGCTTGTGAGTCCCGTGAAGGTAGAAGGTGTATTTCATCTTTACACCTCTAGCACCGAACATAGCATCTGGCCCTTAGTAGGTTCTCAAAACCATTAGTTAAATTTGTTGAATGTGTCCACAGGGACCTTGTTGACTAGTGGAAGGGCAGATAGGTGAACCAAAAACCAAGGTATATTGTGGCAAGTACTGCAATTAAGAGAGTGAAAAGTGCTACAGCAACATAGAGAAGAAAGGGATTGGTGGACTATGGATGGCTTCATAAAGGAAGCACCATTTGAACTGTGTCTTGAGTAGTTCCCTAAACATTCAAGAAGGGTAGAAGGATATTTAGGGTCGAGCGAACATTAAAGGCAAAGACATGGAGGTATAACACTGCATACAGTATTGGAAAAACGACAAGGAATTTGGTATGACTCAAGTGAGAGAGTCTTAGAGAGTAAATGGGTACAAGATTGTGAAATGGGTACAAGATGGTGAAAGATACGTATCTGCTGAAGACCAGAAACATGGATGTCAGGCATTGTTCTTTTGAATTATGTGTTCTATATTAAAGAACTGTAGAAGATGTTGTTGGTAATTCCTTTGGAACAAATATATTTTTAGAGTATGAGTAAAAGTGAATACCTTCATGTTATTGCTTCATTTTGGAAAATATAGGGAAGTTTCTAAACTTTGTATATTAATTATTTAGCAGTTTGTCAAACCAGATGTGAGGCAACCTGGGTGCACAATATTTGTGGAAGATTTGCAAATGCAAAGGCTCTAAGTCACCCTTCTACTGTCTCATAATTTTGTTTAGCTTCGTAAAAAAGGCTTATCATCCAAATAAAAATATTACCTCCAAGAGGACAGAATTCACACTGAGTATTTCTCAACCCCTCTTATTCCAGGTAAATAGTAGGGGCTAACAATAGTGGCACTAGTGGTAAAAAACCCACCTGCCAATGAAGGAGACGTAAGAGACACACGTTCGATCTCTGGGTTGGGAAGATGCCCTGGAAAAGGGAATGGCAACCCACTCCAGCATTCTTGCCTGGGGAATCCCATGCACAGAGGGGCCTGACAGGCTACAGTCCACCGGGTTGCAAAGAGTCAGACACGACTAAAGCGACTTGGCACATAGTGCAGCACAGTAATGTATTTCTTAAAATGAAACAAATTGATTAATTCCTGTAGTTATTAACACTAGAAATATTTCAAACTACTGGAAGTTGCATAATCAATCTGAAATAAAAGTACTTTTAAAATTTCTAACATTCTGTACACCAAGGTTCTGGAATATACCAAATTTCAAAATGGCCTTTCCTTTTTAGAGGGATGTTATCACACACCAAATATTGATTTCCAATGTATTCACTGGTAGAATAATTGAAGGTAATCATGGTTAAATGAAACTGGTACTAGGAGAAATAAAGTTTCAGTTATTTGAGAATATAAGAAATATTGAATTAAATTAATTAGCTATTAAATACATAAATGTGGGCTTAGTCGCTCAGTTGTATATACATAAATAATATCACATAAAGTATTATCATTGTTCTTCAGTCAGGTAGAATGTATTTGGTATTTGTTTTGTTATTCTTTATACCATTTATATATTTTTAATATGCAACTCAGTTCATAATACAGTTGGACATAAAAATGAATGGTACAGTTTGTGTTAGAACTCAATACCAGTTTACAGATTTCATTTTGTAGTTAAGGCACTCTTTGGAGTTTATTTTCTATGACTTCTTATTCATTACTGCTTGAACAATGTATTTTTAACTAGTCCCAAATGCATGTGTGAAACAAAGATTTAGCTGTCCATTTCTGTTTGCGATTCTTTGTAGACTCAAATAACTCATTATGTAGGCAAGTTCCTTAAGAAATTTTAAAGCTCTTTGCCTACTTGAAGGAAGGTACTACTAGCAAGCCTCATTGTGCCATTGTTTTTTCTGGGTATGCTAGACTTCTGAAGAAACATCCTTTCTGTAGAATTAGTATTCCCCAATACTATCAAAGTGTTTGATGATTGTGTTACTGGTAAATGTTTTTCTGTGTATCTCTTTGAACATTATTAGCTCTCAGTAAATATTAGACTATCAAAAGAAGAACATATCTTAAACACAAGTTGGTACTTTAGTGTATTAATTCTCTGCTTTGTTTATTTCTCATCCTTTGCTGAGACAGTGACTTTAAGACTGTGCTTTGGCTTACTATGTATTCTAGGCACTTTGTGAAATGCTTTTTCTTTCTTCATCTTTCTATCCTACACTGCTACATGAGAGGACATGCCTCATTTCCATGAAATCCTAGGGTAACCAAGGATTTCATTACAGTGTATGCTAACATCAAAACATTTTTGTTTGATTTAGCAGAGAATGAGAAACTAGCATACAACTGCAGGAACCTTCCCTAGCAGGAATAAGAGGCATATAGAGTGTGTAATTGTCTCTTAAAATGACTAAGTTACAAAACTGTCTAACTCTACTTGGTTGTGCACGTTCTTTCTGAAGTGAGGATGTCCCACTTCCCTTATGTTTTATTCTTTCAGCTGTCATCATTGGAAACACATTGACTGGGGGATTCAGTGACAGATGATTCTGATAGAGACACTGGAACATGATATCATGGCATTTTGAATCTTTACAAACTTACCCATCTACATAGCATTTAGTTTCTAAAAAAATTATGTAATATTGAAATTTTTATATCTCCTTTTAAAATGTAGTGTGGGCAACGAAAAGCAATGTTGTTCCATTATGACCGGACACTATGTGTCAGAGGTAGGAATCCTCCAAGAAAAGACATGAGCCAATTTGTAACATGGAAAATTAACTAAAAATTTTGTTTCTTAAAGTGTCCATGATGCAGTTAGACATGTGAGGAATATCTTGCTTCTTGTTGCACATTATTCAAGTGGATAGGCTCATAGACTGTTTTAAGATGTGGCCTGTTTTGTTTATAGTGAATTATCTTACTTATAATGGCTTATCGGACTGTTGCTTTCTTATTTTATTTTTTGCCTCTTTTGCTTCTCTTTTTCTTCCTTCTCTCCTCCTCCTTTCTCTCTCACAAACACACATGCACACATATACATATACACATTTATTGAGTGATTTTGAACATTTTGTTGGTCAGCCTCTAAGTTGAGTCTGACTCTTTGCAACCCCAGTGGACTACAGCACACCAGGCTTCCCTGTCCTTCACTGTCTCCCGCAGTTTGCTCAAACTCATGTCCATTTAGTTGGTGATGCCATCCAACCATCTCATCCTCTGTCTCCCCCTTCTCTTCCTGCCCTCAATCTTTCCCAGCATCAAGGTCTTTTCCAGTGAGTCAGCTCTTCACATCAGGTGGCCAAAGTATTGGAGCTTCAGCTTCAGAATCAGTCCTTCAATTGTATATTTAGGGTTGATTTCCTTTAGGATTGACTGGTTTGATCTCCCTGCAGTTCAAGGGACTCTCACGAGTCTTCTCCAATACCACAGTTCGAAAGCATCAATTCTTCAGTATTCAGCCTTCTTTATAGTCCAACTCTCACATCCATACATGACTATTGGAAAAACCATAGATTTGACTATATGGACCTTTGTCAGCAAAGTGATGTCTCTGCTTTTTAATACACTGCCTAGCTTTATCATGGCTTTTCTTCCAAGTAGCAAGTGTCTTTTAATTTCACGTCTGCACTCACCATCTGCAATGATTTTGAAATCCATGAAAACAAAATCTGCCACCTTTTCCACTTTTCCCTCATCTATTTGCCAAGTGGGAAACTGGAAATACTACACGAATCATGTGCATAGACTTTATGAGTTCTAACAAAAGAAACATTGCCTCCCGTTTCAGCCTCTGTCTTCCATGCCCGAGAGCACCGAGGTGCTGAGAAGACAGAAGTACTGCAGCAGTGACAGCAGCTACGGCAGCAGCAGCAGCTCTTCAGAATCGGACGAAAATGAAAAAGACGCGTACCAAGATAAGGAAAGAGAAAAGCAAGTTCCGTATAATCTTAAACAGTCCAACCACTACAAGTTCATCCAGCCAGCCAGTAAGTTAAATTCTTCTAGCTTAGTTGTTATATGAAGAAGTCTGGAACTGAAATAACTCAATAAAAGGCCTTGGGCCACATGAACCCTGGTGTGTGAGGAGACCTAGATTCTACCCCGCTTCCTTCCCCAACCGGACCTCAGTTAGGTCTGGATCCCACAATCCCTTGCGGGGTCCGCAAATGGGAAACAAAAGGAGTTTGACTTACGGATCTCTGTAGTCTTTTGTTCCATATTTCAAAGTCTTCGTTAAGTCCTAAGTTTCTGCGTGAGTCTGAAACTGTGCCTCATGGTTGATCTGCTGATGGCATTCTCTTTTAGGCCCCAATATTCTCTCATTCCGTTCCTCACTCTGTCATTCATTTTGTTTTATATTCTCCCCTATTTTAAAAAATGTGTGTATCTCTCTAGGTATTTGACTTGAATGTATCTGTGAGCCACACAATTGTGAAACAGTTGAAGTTTGTTCCCTCCCCTTTTCATCATGGGTAAGCACTTCAGTCAGGACTTCGGTGTATCGGAATATTCAGGAGAAGAACCAGCTAGCTTCCCTGTTTCCTGCTTTCCTGCTGCCTTTTTCTGCTTTCTTCCTGTATTTCTTTCCCCATTTTCTCTCTCTCTCATTCCTTTTTCGATCCCAATGGCCAGTGTTGTGTCTATGATTCTTCTTCCATCCCCAGATGTCCAGCGTGGTATTGGTGTTGCCCAGGCTCAGTCGGACGCCCCTTCCTGATGTTGTCTCCAGTGCAGGACTTTTCCTAACCTCTGTCACTCACCTCTCTGACTGCCTGGTCCTCCGCTGCCCCAGAGCTCCACAAAGTCCCGTCACTCCATAGACACATTTCTGAGCCTCTGTTGCCCTGTCTCCGGCAATGGTTTAACATGGTCGTTTCCTGATAAACTCGGCCTTCCGTACTTACGGGAAAAATGCATACGCAATGCAGACTTAATATATGAAGACTTTTAATGATCTTTCTTTTACTTTCAAATTATTCCATAAAAATACTTCCTGTCTTTGAGAGCTTATATGTTTTGAGGGGAAATAGCGTATTATATTTCATTTTTTGTTCACTCTTCTAATGTACGTTTATTGAGTACCTGTTTCAGAGTTTGTAAGCTCTTTCATCCATTTTTTCCTTTATCTTAAAGACTCCTGAAGTACTTTCAGTATGTCTCTGTGTAAGTATGGCTCTGCTTCTCTTTTGGAAGCTGACATTGTTCTGCCCAGATTTAATCGGTTTTGGAGCCCCTTTCCTATTGGCTAATGTGTATATCCCTAACAGCATGAACTGACAGAGGATGGAGTAGGGATGAGAAAAACTACTAGGGTTCTTGTACTCAGATTCTTTTTTCTTCTAAGACCAGTAGTTTTAATAAATTGAGATTAGACAAAGAGTGTACTAAAAATGTTTTTAAGTATAAATTCACATTTTAAAGCTTGTCTAATTCAGTTAATATCTTTCTCCTTATTAGTTGTATTTTGTTTTCATAGCCATTAAGAATTGCAACAATGGTTTCAATTTCTTATATTCTCTTTTTAATCTTACACTAAGGAATGTTATAGCCACAAGCCTTCCTTGAATTTTCTCTCCAAAGAGATGTTGATAACTGAGGATAAAAATTCAGTTTATGTACAATGCTTTCTAATGTAGAGGGTTAATATAGGAAACTTAAACTTGTTACAGTACCAGAGGATATATTTTGATTTGATATATGGTAGTCCTATGCAAAACTGTATGAAGTATTTTTTCTCAGATAATTTATGCATGAAAGTTTCAACCATTTTTTGTTAGTCTACCTAAATATCATTGACGTATCTGACTACTTTGTTATTCCGTCTGAATTCTAATGTATGCAGAAGAAAAATGAAAATCTTTTGTGACTCAAGAGAAAGTTGTTTTCCGTCTGCAGCTATAATCAGATTGTACATCTCCAAACCATCATCATAAGCCCTTGAAGAAAGCAGGGCCAAGGTGTATGTATTTACTAGAAGAAGATTGACCAATGGCGTGTTTCCCACACAGCCCTTTTTAGAAGTGCCATTCTTTCAAAAACTAGTGTGACTTTCAGACGGAGACTAACAGTTGGAACAAATGGAAGCTTTTTTTGTTTGTTTGTTTGACATCTTTTATAGCTTGAATGAGTATACTTTTTTATACTCTGCAGAACTTAATAGGACGATTAGACTTATCATCAATTCAAAATATCCTTTAGAAATATGTCTCTAAACATAAGGCTCAAGTCCATTGCCTTTATAAAGGTTTACAATTTTTTCAACAGCTAATGAAAAGAAATATTTGGGTATTGAACCTGCCTTCATGTGAGTTTTATGAAATTATTTAATTAATGAAGAGTGATATATTTCCCAAGCAGAGAGAAAATATACGACAGAGGGTATATAGAACATATGTGCTAGAAAAGTTATAGATGTTGATAGTATCAAATAAAATTCTATTTCTTTGTGTCAGACATTAAAATTTGTCAGGAATAATTGGTTCTCCCTTTAAATGTTCTGAATTTGCACAAGCATAGAAGATATTCTATGATTTTTCCTAGTTGTTCTGATAACAATCGTTGATCCAGACATTTTCTCTTCTTTTAAATATTTTACTATGGTAATTTAAATCTAATTTTTAAAATTTGTCTGTCCTGTGAATAAGGACTTGTCTGTATAGCACTACTCTTATAATAACCAGCTATATAATCTTTGTTTTTTTTCTGTTATATTATCATTATTGCAATAATTGCATCCTTCCTAGATCGCAGTGATAATCAACCCGCCCTCCAATGTTGAAACTGCAAGAGATGCGACTTTAATCCCTGGGTTGGGAAGATCCTCTGGAGTAGGAAATGGCAACCCACTCCAGTATTCTTGCCAGAAAAATTCTATGGACAGAGGAGCCTGGCAGGTTACAGTCCATGGGGTTGCAAGGAGTCGAATACGATTGAGCACACAATCACACATTATTATTATTTTATTTTCATGGGCCCTAAATTTGATAACATCAATTTATCCTGGCCATTCTCCCCTATTCATTTTCCCCTATGAATCCTGCTGTAAAATATTCTGTTTCTAACATCTGCACAGATTCTAATACGTGACCAGTCTCTATTATAGAAAAAGGGAGCATGCTGGCATTAAGTCAGGATTTAGCACTGAACTTGGCAATCTTCTTGTCATGTGACAAGTTCTCTCTCTGAGTCTCCACATGATAGAGATTTGTACTTCAGAGGGTTTCTGTGAGAACAAAGATAATAGTGTAACACCTAGCATGATGCCCGGTTTGTAGAATGTGTTCCATACATGTTAGCTTTCTGTTCTTCTGGTCCTTTTGTCAAGTTTCAAGAATAGAACACTAAAGTACTGTTTAAGTATTGTTCTCACAAGAGCCATTCTCTATACACGACAGGAGTTCCGCACTATGTTCACTGTTTAAATTGAAGGAATAACTCTAAATGCATATGCTCATGATGATGCCGATGCTTTGACACTTCCCGCCAGCCTTCTAGGGCTTTTCTGGTGGCTCAGCAGTAAGAACCCGCCTGCCAATTCAGGAGATGTGGGTTCGATCCCTGGGTTGGAAAGATCCGCTGGAGAAGGAAATGGCAACCCACTCCAGTGTTATAGCCTGGAAGATCCCATGGACAGAGGAGCTGGTGGACTATGGTCCATAGGGTCACAAAGAGTCAGACATGACTTAGCAACTAAAACAAGAAGTCACCCTGCTAATCATTAGTTTGTATAGATACAGTACAGTGGAGGACTTCTACTAACTCTGCTACTGTGCGATCCCTTTTCTTCATCATCCATAGGCTCCATAAGGCGTTCAGTCAGTTGTCCCCGGTCCATCTCTTCTCAGTCACCATCTTGTGCAGACATCCGCCCCTTTTCTGCTCAGCAAGTGATATCAGCATCCCGGCTGACTTCAGGGTCTCGGTCCCATTCTTTAAATCGTGCCTCCTCCTACATGAGGCACCTGCCTCAAAGTAATGATGCCAGCTCCTCTGACTCTCTAACGGTAAGTCTGCTGGTTTGCTCCCCTGAGATGAGCACTGTACTCAGGATTTAGGTGGCAGAGGGATTAGCGGGGAGGAGGATAGATTGAACATCAAATCCTTTCTTTAGTTCAACTCATGTCTCCTGGAATTTGGATTATTCCTCTTTCTTCACCTATAACCAAATATGGATTCTTAAAAGGCCAGCTTCACTTTGTCACAAAACTTAAGGATGAACACTGAGAATATATTTATTTTCTGTTTGCTCATGGAGTAGGGTAAATTTGCATTGATTGTACAGTGTGTCTGAATTTGGGGAATTTTGTTTCATGGAAAATTTTCCTTAATGGGACTATTGATAAATAAGTTAAAAAATTAGCTATTGGTAAATTATCTTTAGAGCATTCTTCAGAATTTTTAGTAATGTTTTCTGTATATTAAATTAGCATACAGTATTATATATATATACATATATATAATATTTCTTCCTTTAGCATAAATTCTAGAGATTCAGTATTGAGGAAGTCAGTGAATTTTTTTGCAACCAAGTTTTTTAGTAAATGCTCAAATATTGGGTTGACCAACAAGTTCAATCAGGTTTAAAACCCAAATGAACTTGTTGGCCAACTCAGTAGATACCTCCATGTATGTTCACATAGACCAATTTAATTTGTTTATTTAATGTGGATGTTGCTTCCAAAGGAAAGAGTCTGAAAAGTATAAGTGAATGAATTTCACTTGGTAACAAGTTTCTGTTTTTTTTTTTTTTTTTTCACTAATCAAGAATTGCCTGAGATATATGTAGAAAATGAAGCTTTTTTAAACACTCACATTTTTGTTTTGGTATTTATAGCTACATAAAATGCAACTGTGTGGAAGCATGAAAGACACTCTTGGGAAATCATATCCATTTAATCCTAAGATTTTAATGCTGAGAACAAATGCAAAAACATTATTTTTTTCCTTTTTCATTGTTATTTTTTCAATTAAAAGCACATCATTTTTACCTAGCACTATCTTTTAGATTATGGTGACACAGTGAAATAAGACCCACTCCAAATATCTGTATTCTTTCAAATTTAAGAGTGAGTCTTTGCGGAAACTGAGACCAAAAGAACAAGAAGATGATCTAACAAGTCAGACCTTATTTGTTCTCAAGGATATGAAGATCCGGTTTCCAGGAAAATCAGATGCAGAATCATTAATTCTGATAGAAGATGTGAGTATTTGATGTATATAAAATTCCAAGGAACTCATACCTTTTTATTCTTCTCCTTAAAATATTAAAATTTATTTCCTGATGTCATTATCTTCAATGACATAGTAAACTTGAATGACCTCCACAAGCTTTAGAAGAAGATACAGGGATTATTTGAATTATTATGATTCATGAGCAATTAGATCACATTTATAATCAGCAATGCAAAATATCTTTTAGTGTATAGTCCTATTTTAATGATGCTTCATCAAGTTGAAAATAATTAGTGTTAAATAGTTATTTGTTCTTAATGATTAAAGACACATTAAGTTAAGCTTGCTTCTATAAAGATTTTGAAAGATTGAATATGGAATGAGATAATAAGGAAAAGAGTGGGCCATGGGCATGAAGTAAATATTTGAATATGATACCTTGAATGGCATTAGTCGAATTTTGAAATGTTACGTTGTGTTTTCTTGTTACCTGTGCATTTGCGCCACCCAGTGGAACGTTCTAAAATGTCAGAGTCCTAAAATTCACATTAAAGTTTGTAACTTACTCCTGATTTAGAAAGAAGGTCCAAGGTATTAAAATATTCGAGTGAAATAGCATTTCTTCACTCAAAGTTCTATTGATATTTCTTCATTGAAACATCCTTTCAAATTGTCATTCTTAGATATCTAACTTCTCAGTAATAGAATGTTTTCTGGATTCTGGTTTTTTTTGGTTGTTGTTTTTCACCCTGAGAAAGCACCATCTAGTGGCCAGTTGTAGGATAGAAACCTCAGCCGTGCAGTTGGCTTTTTTTCACTTTTTGCAGCAGCAGCAGCAAAAGTACTTTAGAGAACCGAACTGAATGGAGGAGGAAATGGCAACCTACTCCAGTGTTCTTGCCCGGAGAATCCCAGGGCCAGGGGAGCCTGGTAGGCTGCCGTCTGTGGGGTCACACAGAGTCAGACACGACTGAAGGGACTTAGCAGTTAGACCTATCTAAAGCACTCCCTAGAAAGAAAACAAACCAAAAACAATCATAAAAAAGACTTTTGTAGTTATTTGTATTTTGTAATCATAACATAGTTATAACCAAAACCCCCAAATATTATGCTTTGTGTTTGTTATATATACATTTTAAAAAGTGAAAATGATATCTCGTTTACAAGTTACATCAAGGGAGAAGGAAGAAAAATGAATATTAGTTATCAAACATTATGCCAGATATATTTCTATTGACATTGTCATCTTATTCAATAGAGTAGAGCCTGTGTTTTCGCATCAGGCATTTTATTTATATTTCTTAAGATGTAAGTTGTATACTACATTTTTCAGTCAGGGAGATGAAAAATTAGATAATCTGAGAGTAAAACTAATTTTGTGGGTAACTGTGATTGTTCTGTAAAGAACATGTGTATAGGCTTATATAACTGATATATTAGACATTAGATTAGTTACAACATGTTTACTTATGCAGCAACTATTTTAATCTGTTTGTTATAGTGTACATAACTAATATATATTCAGAAATTTTGCATATTTGCACCAAAAAATAAAAGGGGATAATAGAATCCTAATTATATATAGGCTATTTTCTAATGTGCTATTCAATATTTTGTTATTATGAATGATGTTGTAAATATAGTTCTTGGAATTAAAATGAAAAATCTATATTTTTGGCTTCTTCCCAGTCCTTATATTCCTGAAGACGTTTGAGTTTCATTCATTAAAGATTTTTGCTTTTTACAGCAAGAAGAGAAAAACTTTAAATTCAGATGGCTTTTTTACCTTATGTTAAAAAAATCTTTGCACTCTTTTTTTAAATGAAAGTAGGCATCTTTTATTTCAAATAGTATAATAGTGTTTTCATTTCACAAATTAATTACATTAAATTTCTTAATATTTCTTCCCTCAAACAGATCATTGATAACTGGAAGTATCATAAAACAAAAGTGGCTTCATATTGGCTCATAAAATTGGACTCTGTAAAACAACGAAAAGTGAGTAATGGATACCCCAAAATAGGTTTTTGCTCTTTTGGATTATGCATTAAACTAGGACCATTAAACCACATTCATAATCAAACTATACACATACTCATTTGTTTACTAGTTTCCTTTACAAACATTTGTTATCTACTATGTTTCAGGTGCTGTTCTAGGTTCTGGGGATAAACAAGTGGATCAAAAAAAATCCTATGGTCTCATGGAGCTTGTATTCTAGTTAAGGTGTTTGATAATAAATCAATATATAATAGAATGTATGGTGGTATTAAGAACTGTGAAGAAAAATAAATCAGGATTAAAAATTGAGAGAAGTTGACCTAAATGAAATGAGAAAAATACTATGCAGACATCTATAGCTACATTGCATCAGACAGAGGGAAGAGCAGATACAGAGGCCTAGGGTATAAGTAGCCTGGTCTGTCCATGAGACGTAGGGGACATCATTTACTTCCTGATTGACAGAATAGTTGGTTTGTGCTGGTCAAGAGTGAGTGATGTGTTGGTGACAGTTGAAGTTGAATAGATAAGCACAGCTTATCAGATCATAGCTTACAGGTTGTGGAAATACTTCGGGTTTTATTCCAAGTGATGGAACACCACTAGAAATTTTTGAGCAGAAGAGTTACATAGTATGGTTTCTAATTTAGAGGGATCATGAGAGCTACTTGTGAAGAACAGAACTAGGGTAAATGGAAAACGGCAGAACAGAGGTAGAGGCCAGGTACTCTATGGTTTTTAGGGTAACTGAGCTGAGAACTAATGGTGGCTTAGCTAGGTTGATAACTGATTGAGTGTATGCTGGAGAAAGAACAGGGTTTCATTTTCCCCGTCGTTTTGTTTTGCTTTTGTTTTGAACATACTAAAGTTGATACATTGATTAAACATCTAATGCAGATGTTGCGTGTGTCATTCTATATATGAGTTCAGAGCTAAGGCTGTATATGGAGATACAAAACTTAAGAGTCACTATTAGAAAAGGCAGAGGAACCAGAGATCAAATTGCCAACATCCATTGGATTATCAAAAAAACAAGAGGGTTCCGGAAAAACATCTAATTCTGCTTTATTGACTATGCCAAAGCCTTTGACTGTGTGGATCACAACAAACTGTGGAAAATTCTTCAAGAGATGGGAATACCAGACTACCTGACCTGCCTCCTGAGAAATCTGTATGCAGGTCAAGAAGCAACAGTTAGAACTGGACATGGAACAACAGACTGTTTCCAAATTGAGAAAAGAGTAACTCAAGGCTCTATATTGCACCATGCTTAGTCAACTCATATGCAGAGTACATCATGCAAAATGCCGGGCTAGATGAAGCACAAGCTGGAATCAAGATTTCTGGGAGAAATATCAATAACCTCAGATATGCAGATGACACCACCCTTATGGCAGAAAGTGAAGAACTGAAGGACCTCTTGATGAAAGTGAAAGAAGAGAGAGAAGAAGTTGGCTTAAAACTCAGCATTCAGAAAACTAAGATCATGGCATCTGATCCCATCACTTCATGACAAATAGATGGGGAAACAATGGAAACAGTGACAGACTTTATTTCAGAGGGCTCCAGAATCACTGCAGATGGTGACTGCAGCCATGAAATTAAAAGATGCTTGCTCCTTAGAAGAAAAGCTGTGACCAACCTAGACAGCATATTAAAAAGCAGAGACATTACTTTGCCAACAAAGGTCCATGTAATCGAAGCTATGGTTTTTCCAATAATCATGTATGGATGAGAGAGTTGGACTAAAAAGAAAGTTGAGTGCTGAAGAATTGATGGTTTTGAACTGTGGTGTTGGAGAAGACTCTTGAGAGTCCCTTGGACAGCAAGGAGATCCAACCAGTCCATCCTAAAGGAAATCAGTCCTGAATATTCATTGGAAGGACTGATGCTGAAGCTGCAACTCCAGTACTTTGGCCACCTGATGCAAAGAACTGACTCATTGGAAAAGACCCTGATTCTGGAAAAGATTGAAGGCGGGAGGAGAAGGGGATGACAGAGGATGAGATGGTTGGATTGCATCACTGACTCAATGGACATGAACTTGAGTAAGCTCCGGGAGTTGGTGATGGACAGGGAAGCCTGGCGTGCTGCAGTCCACGGGGTCACAAAGAGTCAGACACAACTGAGCAACTGAACTGAAGTGAACTGAAGATATTTAAGCCTTGGGACTAGATGAGATTACCTCAAGCGTAAGTGTGATTAGAAAAGAAGAGAGTTTTGAGGGCTGAGCCTAGGACCACTTCTATGTATAGAAATCAGAGAAATGGGGTAAAGGGGTTAATCTAAGGGGACTGAGAAGGAGCAGTCAGTAAAGTCTCAAAAATCTTGAGAACTGAGTTACCTTGACATCAGCTAAGCACTTTAGGGATGGAGTGATCAACTGAGCTAGATGTTGCTGATAAGAGTTATAACATGAGCACCATGACCTGACTATTGTTTTTGATAACTTTGAAGATAGTGGTTACCAGCTGAGCTACCAGGGACATTCATAACAAATTCAGAGGAATGGTGCAGAGTAAAACTTGAGTGGAGGAGGTTCAAGAAATGGGAAAAAGTATGGCTAGTCCAGGCACTTTTTCAAGGAATTTTGCTGTAGAGGGAAAAGGGAAATGTAGTGGTAGCTGGAGAGGGATGTGGGTTAATGACAAGGTGTTTTTTGTTTGTTTTGTTTTTTGAAAAGATGCAGCTATTTACCATTGTTAGTTGCTGATGAGAAGGATCCAGAAGAGACAAATGGTACAGGAAAGAGTGATTATAGGAAATCCTTGAGCAAGTAATCTAGGAAGGTTTATCCTAACCAGGAGCATTTATTCTAATAGAAGGGAAGGTAGAGTCTGTGGCACTGTGGTGGAAAGATGTGAAAATTTTCTACTGATGGGGAGGGGCTTTGGAAATTTGAGGAGATAGTACAGTATCTCACAGCATAGGAGAAGGGAGTGGCCAACAGCCTGAGGGGCCCATAGATGGATTGCAACATTATTTTGGGGGAGCTGTGCTATTTTAGTACCTATAGTGAAGCTGTTGTATTCCTAAATAATGCAAACTATCACTTCCCCTTTCTGAAATGTATTGCTAATAAGGTGAAAGTTGACACTGATCATATGATGACTTTGAAATCAGGTACTTTCCTCTGAGTAAACTGAAACCATAATTAAGCATTAACTCATTCAACAAAGGACAACCTAGTGTCCTGTTATGTGCCAAGTGCTGTCCAAGAGAGTGTAGCAAAGCTGGTAGCAGAGGTGGACTGAAAACGTCTGTAAGGCCAGAATTCCTTTTCTCCGAGTCACTGACTGTATGTAGCCTTGATTCATTAAAATAGGAACCTTTTATTGGAATGTTGAATCTTTTTGTAAGTACAGTGTATTTTTTCTAACCTGGATGATAGATAATTAAGTTGGTAATTAAAACAGATAGCTCAGAAACAGATTAAAATATTCATAAGATATTACTACCTGATAAATATGACATTTCAAATCAATGGAGTAAAGATAAATTTTCCCATAAATGATACTAAAACAATTGATGATTTGTAAGAAAATTAAGTTGGACCATTATCTCTCACCCTATGCAAAAATAAATTCCAGAAAATGCTGTTCGGTTTTTTTACATGTGATATGATTGTACAGAGTGATCAAACGATGTGTGTGTGTGATAGTAGTACTATTTATGAATTAGGTGAAACTATTTTGTGTTTTAAAGTTGTCATGCTCAATTGTGTTTATAAATTTCAAGTAAAAATATTTGACAACAAGCCAGTATAATAATAAGTTGCAAACTGTATTGAAAAAAAATTTAAAAGCTTTTACATGTTGATATTACACTAAAGGAGTCTGAAAATTTGTCTGTTGGGTTGTAACATGCTAACCATTCATTGGAGTATCTGTTTGATACTTGTGCTATTGTTTAAGAAACTGCATCCAAGAAAAATAAAAAGAAACCTAGAAATGTGAATCAACTTTGGAATGTAGAATTGTTGTTGTTCAGTCGCTAAGTCATATCTGACTCTTTGCGACCCCATGGATGGGAGCACACCTGGCTCCTCTGTCCTCCACTATCTTCTGGAGTTTCCTCAAATCTATATCCATTGAGTTGGTGATGCTATCTAACCATCTCATCCTCTGGCACCCACTTCTTTTGTCTTCAGTTTTTCCCAAATCAGGGTCTTTTCCAGTCAGTTTGGTGCATCAGATGGCCAAAGTATTGGAGCTTCAGCTTCAGCATCAGTCCTTCCAACATCAGGGTTGATGTCCTTTAGGTTTGACTGGTTTGATCTCCTTGCAGTCCAAGGGACTCTCAAGAGTTTTTCAGCACCACAATTTGAAAGAGTCAATTCGTCGACACTCAGGCTTTCTTTATGGTCCAACTCTTATGTCTGTACCTGATTACTGGAAAAACCATACCTTTGACTCTATGGACCTTTGTCTGCAAAATCATGTCTCTACTTTTTAATATGCTGTCTCGATTTGTCATAGTTTTCTTTCCCAAGAGCAAGCATCTTTTAATTTCATGGCTGCAGTCACTGTCCACAGTGTTTTTCGAGGCCAGGTAGAATTAGGTATTATTAAAAGTTACCCACTTAGAGGGCCAAGAACTTAACTAATTTAACATCTAGATGTGGATTAATCAGAACTATCCTTCTTTGGACTATGATTGTACCAAGATTGTCAATAATTATTGGGTGGCTGTATCAGTTCAGTCCCCTGGAAAGCAAGACATATGACAGTTAGAAGTGAAAGAAATTTTTGAGAGAAGACACACAAGAAAGATAAAGGTGGAGAAAGTTTGAGCAGGCAGGAAGAACCTTCTGACTGCAGCATTGGTCTGACACTAGTGAATGGAAAACAGGAGGATTGGGGAGGAAGAAGTTCAGACTAGAGAAGTCCTGAGTAACACCTGTCAGGCTGATGGGGAGCCCAGAACACAAGTTGCTTGTGAGAGCGACCACACTGGGCAGAAATAGCTTCCCTCTGGTATCCCAGTCATGCTCAATC